AAAGATATAAATGTTACAAGTATATCTTGACAGCAACCATTAGTAACAATTGTCTACATGACAAATTTCTGGAAGTGACGTATTTGCAGTTATTTTGTTGCTGTGTTTCACAATCACGATTTTGTTGTTGTTTATTAATAATGTTAGCATTATGGGTTTGACTTTGATGGACTGCTGATGTGTTCAGTTTTCTTCGTGTCATTTCTACTTAGATATATAGCTGAAACAATGCTGGGTTTTGTTTCAGACACCTACTCCTCAAGCCTAATCGTAACGTTCCCTTCATCTTTTGTTCTTACAGAATTCCAGAGGACGACGGGTATACATTTCTACTAACCTTGGTGTGCCGTACATCTTCATCGCCTGTGTTTTGTCGTTCGAGGAAATCTGCATGTTCTTCTGAAATCGCTTTTCGACAAAAACCCTTCCCTTCTGCTTGCATTTATGATATCGCCAATGTTCCCAAGAGATTCTTGGGATTAATATCACTTTGAGCATTATTTCAGTTATGTCACGGGTGTCAGTTCAACGTGGATGGAAGGGAGGAAGTAACGCATGTTGTGACGTTCTTCACTTTGGGGAAACCTTCAAGGATGTTTTTGATGCTGAGAAACCAAGGTTCAGGTTCAACCTAGGAATCAATACACTATTAGCAGATTAGTAATGACAGGCCTGGTGTCATTTTGTTAATCAATATTAGCTACAGTTTCTATGTGACAGATACCAGTTCTAACTTAACAGATGCTGCATGCGCCCATTTTCATTTATGGGATGTAGAGCGTAAATTGCTGGGTTGGTGCTAAATATTATTTCGAGTTACCAACTTTCTTTACTTGCAACCACTTTAATATGTTAGCTTTGTTTGCACTATATTGTATTTGAGGATTTAATTTGTATATTTTCTCCGGTTTGAAAGGATTGATTAAAAGAAATTTGCATCACTGTAGACGCTGAGAATGATGTTTAAGGTTATAAAATTATTGATGCATTGAGTTACCAAATATTATTCCGTATTATCAATGACAATTTGAAGCGTTCCGTTTGATACTTTTGTCAGACTATTTGATAAAGTAATATCAAAACACCACACCATGCCCCCACTTCTTGCCCCAGCCCCACAAAATTAAAATCGATCAGTAAAAATATAATTGAAAATTTTGTGTTATGCTAAAAACAATTGACGATGATGTTTGACGTGTTGGAAACTATCATTCTGGTAGAGCATTTGATTAATCACACGTTGTCCGGGTACTTACCAAGTCTTTTCTAAGGATGTAAACGTAAAGTAATCGAAATTCGTGTTTCGTATTTTGTTACGTAAATGTGTACAACGACGAACCATTATGCAAATTCAAATTACTCAATAAATTTTGTCGATATAAGGGGACTGGTTTGGGGCGCAGATGCATTCCAAGATCTGCTTGCCGTAAGATTCCATGATGATATGTCTAGAATATGAATCCTCACAGGGGTTAAAAAGAATAAAAAGTCACACAAAGTCACTACATGATTTCCTCAAACTCCTCCTTTAGCAGGCACGTGGCATAACGGAAATTCTGCTTTCCAGTGTTGACTTTCACAATTTAGACTTCCACACCAACCCGTACCTATAATTGAGGAGGCTGCATGTTCAGTTTTGTGTCTATACCTGGAATGCGGAGGTGAAGTCTTCAAAATCAAAACTCCTGTAAATGTGATGTGATGTTTTTATTGTTATTCCATGGTAGTGGATTACAGGTATTTCATATTACTGGTTTTCATAATCAGTGTGATGTTCTGGTTGGAATTTTATACATTTTGATAGATCTACGATTAAACTGAATGTTGTTATCTTAAGTGTTTTTATGCAAGGTTTACGATATAATTATACTAAATATTGAATATATATGTTGGATGGTTATTTATGACTATTTGATATCTAAATGGATTTATTGCGTACTCAAGATGATGTTTGCATGGACATCCTTCACATTTTATATCGGTATTATTACACTATTTGATATAGAATATACCCGTAGTTACATTATCAGCTTGATGTTTCAGTGGTGTATACATTCAATGTAATTGTTTTATGAATGGGTGTTAAAATCTGATATTGAAATTGATTTACAGCATTTTCACGGTGATCTTTTTATGAACACCGTTTGTATCTTTCATATCTAAATCAGATTTCTTCATGAGTTAAATGTTAAAGGTAATGAATATTCATTATAATTTGATATTGAAATGGATTTACTGCATGTTTTTTATAAACATTCACTTTATATTTCAAATCTAAATCGCATTTGCTTCATAAGGGTATTGTTAAATGTGATGTTCATGAGTATATACTACAATTTGAGAATCACATTAAGCATAGTGGGCCTTCGCAGAACTATTATTTCACTGTATAGCTCAGTCGATTTTGCTGCGTCCTTGTTGTGATTTTTATGCGTAATTGATGCAATTTGATAACGGAAGTTACTCAATTACTCGGTGGGATGTTTCGATTATAATTCAAATACCCGGTCATAACTATAAGTGTGTATTAAATATTGAATGTGATTGTTTTATAGATGATTAATACTCTTTGATGTTTATAGGGATTTCCTTCATATTAATACTGATGGTGACAAACACTTTTAGATATCTTTGATATATATGTGGTTTGCTGGTGAATATTATTTTTAAAAATGTTTCCCTATATATTACTTAAGTGTTTTATGGGTATTTAATACCAATAAATGGATTTATTTTATTTTCGCCCTGATATTCTTTTTGCTTTCGATATCTGATATATATTTAAAGGTCAATCATCATACTGGTCGATATAAGAACATGTAGTTACAACATCATCAGCATGATCTTGCATTACTGTCCGAGCTTTTCACAAACAGTTTACTGTATACTAAATTTGACTATTTTGAGGGTATTACATGTTTAATGTTTTTCGGCTTTTTGGAGGTTTTTTTTGCAATTGCTTCGAATTTGATAACTTTACTTTACCCCGTAAGTTATATGGTGTTCTCTTTAACAGGTTGATACTAGTATTTGATATCAGTTGACGTTGCTCCTTGTATCATGATTATTTGATGGTGATTCGTGAACACATGCTCAGCGTTGGCTTTACTGGGCGCTTCGAGGATATATGACTTCACAAACGTTGCCACCCATGATAGTGATTGCTAGATGTGTATCCCGGTTGGGGAAAGTGGTAAAACCTAAGATATTCCATTCCCCTGTGGTATATGATGCACTTTTGTTGCATGGAACAAAGCTTCCTAGACCTTCATTAATACCTATCCTGCTTTTCGCTAACTTAAGTCCCGATTAGATCATACCAACAGACAAAAGATATTATTTTCACCCCAAGCACATGGTCATGAACGACAATTTGCCATTGTCGTCATATATAGCCGTGGAATAGTGATGATTGCAGCCTTCGACACTCGCCCGTGCATGATACTGCAGTGTTATATTTTTTACGGCAATATTACACTAGCAATACCGGCTAGACATATGAGGTCATAATGGTTTACTTTTATGACGTCAAGCATGAACATCATACTCAACACTCAAGCATGCCACAGGTGTCTAATGTAAATGTCAAGGTAACGTCACAAGCATAGCTAAACTTAAGAACATACAATATACCATATAGCAGTTATGTTTGGGGTTAGTGTGGTTTAATTCAATATCAGACATAAAGAAGAGTTAATATAGTATATTAACAAGGAGTTTTACTACATTATTGAACTTTTGACCTTCTGAGACCTTGCCATTATAATGCTCAGTTTATGGGTCTATTAAACTTCAAACATATATAATTCAGAAAACAACCTTAGATGACACAATGAAATGCTGTATGAATATATTTACTAGGCTAGGGCTAAGTAAAGATTTGAAACATTTTTATCACCTAAATCCAAACTGATCTTTTAACACTAGAATCATTATAAACAGTTCAGCGGGGAGACATTTACCCAATTCATATTTGAGCAAGTAACAAATTCCACACAATGACATATATGGCTATTAAGTAGGCTCTTTCTTGAGTCCTTAATGTCACTGATGAAAAATAATCAATGAATGTGAAACTTATGGTAAATCTGTGTACATAAATCCCCAAACTGGGATATACTAAAAGTAATTTTCTCCAGAGAAACATTCTTATCTACCTAGAAAACCTGAATCAATGAAAGTGTTACTTTCTTCATACTATCAAAAAAGGCCAAACGAAATCATATCTACTACATTCTGGTCAATAACACATATAGTACAATAACAACATTTATTACTGGGGGTTTTAAAGTAAAAACTCTTTCCAGCTTTACACCTATATACTTTAAGCATAATTACACAGCTGATATTTGGATATTCTGTATTTTCTGACAAGGCCAGAGCAGTTTTATTTCTTGTTTTACGGGATGCAGGGTCATATTTTTCCAAGAATAAGAAAAAAAATACAAATTAATTTTCCCCTCTCAAAAAATAAAATTTTAATATTTTTATTGGCCAAAAATGTAAATGAGCAAGAAAATGTTTTTGATTTTTTTAAAAAGGAATATTACTTTGACTGGTGATGTTTATTTTTATTTTTTTCCCTCCTGCCTTTTGGTTTTCTGAGGACAAAAATACGTAAAACAAGAAATAAAATCAGTCTGGCCTAATTGTGATATGTAGATAAGCATGTTCAACAATAGCGTGGTTATTAATCAATACATAAATAATGTACTTCTCATTTTCCAGTATCATAAACTGTACTTCTCATTTACCAACATCATAAAAAGTACTTCTCATTTTCCTGCATCATAAACTGTACTGCTCATCTTCCAATATCATAATCAACTTCTCATTTTCCAATATCATAAACAGTGTACTTCTCATTTTCCAATATTATAAACAGTGTACTTCTCTTCTCATTTTCCAATATAAACAGTGTATAAACATGTACTTCATTTTCCAACAGTATAAACAGTGTTCTCATTTTCCAATATTATAAACAGTGTACTTCTCATTTGCCAATATTATAAACAGTGTACTTCTCATTTTCCAATATTTATGCAACTGTTAAGAAATTTTCCAAATGTTCTATGTTCATGTAATGTATGAACAGACCAATTTCACCAAGCATTGTCTGCATGACATTAAGGATTCACAAATCATTACCAATAAGAGATCAAGAAAAAAATATCTATCATTGCCTACATAATATAAAAGATCAACAAATTATTACAAATCATTAGTCAACACAAGATTATTGATCAACAAGTGACACTTGAATGACATTAATAAAAAATGATTTTACAATACCAAAGACTACATGACATCGATGATCAACAATTTTCACCATTGTCCGAGCGACATTAATGATCACAATGTTTTGCCAAAGAAAGAAAGTAAAGAATATTGCAAAACTTACTTGTGCGTGTGTAATCATTGCTGCTCTTTAAAAAACAATTTCAATACCTAATAATGAATTATAAAGAGAAAACATCACTAGAGCTTGGAAGACTGCTACGACATTTTACAAAGTGTCCATTAGTTGTAGTTAGAAAACAAACCATCTCCATCTGAAGCATTTGATGCAGTAAATGTTCATTGCATTTCAGAAAAGATGAAAGAAGATTCCCAATCATCAATACTCTTTCTTCTTGCCAGCTTGGACAAGTGTGCCCGCTTCTATTTGTGGCAAGACCTGTACCGGTTATCACTAGTTTGATTGTATGCTACATCCTGTACAGTCCCTTTGATACAAAAATACAAGCACATACAAATTTTACAAGTAAATCTTTGTACAATGATGCAGTTTTGTTAAAGGTATGGAAAGATCTGATAAATAGACACAAGCAGAGGTAACTGGGGTGAAAACTTGACGACATTTTTTCACAAAAATTAAGATTGATTAAATCAAAATGGAAATTGTGATGTATATATAAAGAAAGTAGCTGCTTTGAATCATAACCTCCGGTTGTTTCAAGAGGCAATCAAATATTGAAATTTTCACATAAATGCCCATCAATTTTGTTCACTTATAAACAAAAGCATCAATTACATAAATTCTGCCGGGATAAAATATCACGTTGTGTAAATACATTTCTTTTTTACCTGCTGGAAGATAGGGTGAAATACTGAAGACTATTTACACACAAAAATAAACATTTTGTTTGCAATGTTACCCAGATGATGATTTTCATCAATACTGACCCAATGCTTCTGATACTGTATGTGTCTAAGGCTGCAGGTGTTTCACCATGCAAGGTAAACAAGAAGCCAAACAAACAATAACAAATCTTGTGGGAACAAGGTAACAATGTAGTCAATAAATACATGAGAAAAAGAGAGAAAAGATTTTGAACATTATTTCCAAAAAGTTCATGCTAATACTACAAATTTGTTGAATGTATTCAGACAGTAAAAAATCTTTATTTACAATTGAGCTCAAGAAATGAATGTTCCATTACATAACTTCAGATATGATGCTATAACAATCTTGAGCAATTTAAACCTGTTAGTATGGATTACAATGTAGTGAATAGGAGAAAAACACTATACCAAAACAGTATAAACTTCATTTTGTTAGTAGACTTGAGGTTAGGAGGTATGGAAGAGAACTAAAGATTTACAGATACAAAACACATCACTATACACTTCATATAAACCATACACAAGGCTTGTGACAAAGGTATATTGAAACACCATATTTTCGTTAGACCACACAAACATTAAGTTCACAGTTCAGTGTACATATTTAACTGTGTCTTGGCATCAAATTTCAAAAGTATTTTTATCGGTTTCAAACTAGCTACTTCAAAAGTGCAAGAATTCTTTTCTTAGTATTTCCTTTATGGCCAAAATAATCACACAATTTTCATATCGGAAATGAAAAGGTCAGCCATAATATACTGGAACAAAACTCTGTGTCACATTACATACATTAAAAAACCCCAGAAATTTGTAAGTTGGGAAATATGCAAAAACATAACCCAAAACAAATTCTATTTTCATTATTTTATGACAGTTAAATATCTAACTGAAAAGGTAAATTTTGGCAACATGCTTTGGTTTACATATTAATATATTCTATCAGTGTTCGGTGGTTTAAAAAATGGTATAAGTGATTTAATTCAAAGCTATGAATACACTATATACATTTACATTTGTAACTTACACTTACAGAATACCGGTATATATTAGTATCCATCTTTTAGTATTCACAGTTTATCTGCTACACTACAGCATTGGTACATGTTACTGGTATGCCAGTTAAAAATGAAAAACAGCATAATTTACTATGCAATACCTTTATCCGTCAATAAAGTATTTCTATAAAATACAAAGTATTCATGGATAGATGTTTCTTACTAAATTGACTTCATCAGTATATGTCAATGTTGGGACACCACATTTCAGTGTGATTCTTTCATGTAAAAAGTTACTTTCACTCACAAGGACTTTACAGAATCCCTTGTGAGAATGTGCAATCTTATAAAATACAGTCCTTATTGTCTTTCCCATATCACAGTGGCCCTTTATTGACAAATATATTAAGGACCGAGTAAGCGATTATAACAGTCACATTAGTTTTGAACATGAAATATTCTTTGTCTTATGTGTCAATAATCAACTGGCCACCTTCATGACAAATTAAACTGAGTAATGTATTGTGAGTTGGATATCACAAGTGCTCAACAAACAGTTCAAGTCGCACTGTTATATCTTTCTCTGGTTCTTCTTGTGCAGATATTTATTAAATAGTTAACCCTTACATAAGCAGAACATTTGTTCCTTCTAATCCATCTCACAAGCAACATCTAACAGATTTATCACCTTGCTGGCTTTATATAAACTGTCAAGTTTTCTCCCTACTAAATACTGGTACCAGTGAACTCCAAACCAACAGAATACAAGTGACACAGGGTTATCTCCCCTATGAACTGAGGACTTGAAGAAACAGAGTTAGCTCCCCTACCAACATAGGCCAGAATTAACTGAGAGTTATCTACCCTGACAGGGGTCTTCCTGATACTAGTACAATGGACCCTCTGTTTCTGGTTTTCGACGCCTGAGGTTGTTTTCTCTTCTCAGGGCTTCTGCTTGCAATACTGCTTCCTTTGCCAAGTGTTTCTCTCGAAGCATCTGAAGCTTGACTGTGCGAGGGATGTCTGGGACGAGGTAGGACACCAGCCATGATAGGAACACCACCACCAACTGCAAGAGAAGCGGCATCTATTAGGATTAAAGAACTCTTATGTACACTAAACTTTGCATACTGATAGACCTGTGAAGATCCTCATTAGACTTGGTCTTCAGCAACCCATGCTTGTCGTAAGAGGCGACTAACGGGATCGGGGGTCAGGCTCGCTGACTTGGTTGACACATGTCATTGTATCCCAATTGTGTAAATGCTCTTGATGTAAATCACTGGACTGTCTGGTCCAGACTCAACTATTTATATGCCACTGTCAAATAGCTGGAACATTGATGAGTGAAGTGTTAAACAACAAACAAAGTTAAATTAACAGAAAAGTTACCCCCAATGAGTTTGGATTTTCAGTTGTGATAAACATATTTTATCCACAGACAATAAGTATCATTTTGATGGCACACATCAATTTCCAGTAACTCGCATATTTAAAGGATGAATATTTACAAGCAAGACCATTTCCCATCAACTTACAATGAATGCAATGATGAAGGCTAGCTTAGCTGTAAGGATCTCCCAGAACTGCACACTGAATCTATAATTTTTCGTTGCATCCCTGTAATCTCTATAGCTGTAAAATAAAAATGAAAAAATAGAATTAAAAATTACATTCAAATACTAAGGCACTAGGAATACACAATGCCATTCATAAAGTTGTCTGCATCAGATGTTACATAATTACACTTTGTAGTAAAGTACAGATTCTAATACTTTTGTTGGTTTGAAACTGCACTCTAAGAATCAGGCACCTTATAATAATAAATATAAGTTCATTTGTATAGCGCCCTATATCCAATCACCAAGTGGTAGCTCATGGCGCTGTCATATATACATATTTACAATAGGAGTTCATTTAGATGTCATAGTGCTTCTTGAACAGGAAAGTTTTTAAATTAGACTGGAAGCTGGCTATTGACGGGGGATTCTTTGAGAGACATATGCAGATTGTTCCAGATGATAGCTGACAAGCAGGAAAAACATCGGTGTCCGTATGTCTTCAGACCTGCATTTGGGACGATGAGCAGCAACTGATTGGCTGATCTAAGAGTCCTGGTTGGGACTTACTCTCTGACAAGACTAGAGAGATAGGATGGAGCTGCATTGTTCAGACATCTATAAGTCATGCTAAGTATCTTGTATTCTATCCTGGCTGGGAGTAGTAACCAGTGCAGACGCATGAGGATTGGGGAGATGAGGTTGTGTCTGGTGGTTCGGCAGATCAATCTGGCAGCTGCATTCTGGACTTTTGCAACCTGGAGAGCAGGTCTTTGTTCACGTTCCCAAGCAACCTGTTACAGTGGTCCAAGAGGGACAACACCATAGATCTTACAAGATGGTGTGCTGCGTCAGTTGTTAATAGGTGGCGTATGCTGGAGATATTCCTTGTGTGATGATAGCAGATTTTACATAAGTTACTGATGTGTGGCTCCATAGAAAGTGTAAGGACACCCAGGTTTTTGACTGTAGGGCTCATGGAGATCTGAGATTCACCTATCTTATGTGAATTCACATTCAGTTTAGCTATGTTGACTGGTGAACAAGCCATGAGAATGTCTGCTTTGTTATTGTTTAGTTTGAGTTTACTAGCGGTCATCCATGTCTTCACATTCCCTACACACACTTCAACTTTTCTAACTTGTGATTTTGCATCATTCACATTGAGTTTTCAGCTGAGTATCATCAGCATAACAATGATGTGAGATTTTATGCCGAGTAATAAGGTCCCCAAGACTGTTGGTGTAGAGAGTGAATATCAACAGTCCCAACACAGAACCTTGTGGGACACCACATGAAGGGTTGCCTGTCTGAGATCTAACATTTTGCATGAGCACAAACTGAGATCGTTCTGATAGGTATGAGGAAAACCATCTTAGAACAGAGCTGCCTAATTTAAAACGGCTTTGTAGACAATCAAGAAGCTGTTTGTGATCTATTGTATCAAATGTAGATTTATAATTTGAAATTGTATCCATTTAAAATTGGCTAAAAATAATATGGTAACCCCTCTTTAGGCAAACAGTCACTTTAGTCTACCCTTATGCACTTGATACAAGCGTAACCATAAATATGGTTTTCATGGCACCAATCAACCATTTTGCAAATCATGGAACAGGTCATTGACAAAAAGACAACACCTGTCAATAGCAGGTATGGGATCCACAACATGCAGTGACATACTGAAATCTAGGATCCATGCTTACAAGCTTAGATGTTTAAACCAATATTGATCCTTAGCAAAGTGTGAATAGTATACTTTATTGAATTAATATTCATACAAAGGTGAATCATACCTGCATGTTGTCACTACCCCAAATTCATCAGTTTTGAGGTCAGCAGGAAAACTTGAATTCTCATAATCATTGACACGGAACTCTGACAAGCTGAACTGTATGTAACCATCCAGGGAGGTATCATTGCCATAGGCAAACCGATACACCAGTTTGGGTATAAACTCGGATGTAAATGCTATTATACATGCCTGAAAGTAAGCAAAAGCATAAATATACTCATCGGCAGAAGTCAACGATAATGTACTGAAAAGTCTGTTTCCAAGCAATTACAATTTGCAATTTTTTGTATGCTATATTCATAAAGTTTAAAATAGAAGCAGATATTATCCCCTGCAAGTCCTTCTGAATGCAAAAGAGTTTAGATGTTGAACGGCTGGAACTAAAGCATAATGTGTTTTCTTCTGGCTAGAAGAAAGTGGAATGGTTATCGTAAGCCTATGGGAGTTACGATCACTTTAGCTTAAAGACAGCTTTGTAGAACGAAGTCTAGAAGTACACTCAATGCTGGAACAGTGTGTGTCAGACTTCTTCGTCCAGTTTCTCAGTTCACATTAGATAAGTGCATGCTCATCCATTACTAGCATAAGTGAGTGAGTGAGTTTGGTTTTATGTCGCTTTTTAGCAATATTCCAGCAATATCATGGTCCGGGACACCAGAAATCAGCTTCACCCAATGTACCCATGTGAGGAATCAACCCGGGTCTTCAGCACAACAAGCAAAGATTTAGACCACAGGGCTACCCCTTTGCCCCCATGAGCACAAGCATCACACATGCTTTGAATTTTACTGTAATTTTACTGATAGTATTCCAGGGATTTACGAGACGCGAATTCCTGCGTCCTATACACATTAATATTGACAATGGATGCAATGAAATTTATTAACGCATCCACGCAGAAAAAGTCCAAATGCTTTTTTTTCATGAAATTTTGAAAATTCCAATAAAGTAACAATAAGATATCAAAGAGTTTACTATATCATTTGCAATTCAGTTACTGTAACAATTAATGTGATGATCATGCTACACAATACAATAACAGTATTAATTATAATATTTAAATGTCTGGGACCCCCATTTTGTTGTCCAGGACCCCTGAACATTAAGAGTATGAGGACCCTCAAAAACAGGACTCCAGGTAAATCCCTAGTGTTCCCTCAGGAACAAGGGTCACAAGGACAAATATATAGACAAATATGATGGAAGAGTAGTTACATTTGAAGCTACAGCCACGGTGGAAATGCCTCTCAGGATTCCAAACCAGACACCTGAAAAAGAAGCAGGATCATAACTGAAAAATATCCAATACACATATAGGTTTGTGTTGTTTCTGATTTCTAATACAAAATGAGAAAATTGAATATATTGTACACTCGCATAACCTTGATTCGTGGAAATAAGGGAAGAGCTGTGAAAATCATATTTTAAATGCACAATTTCATTTTGAATACTCACTGATTATTTTATTCAATGATTCAGCAAATTGAAAATGCCTAATATTCCACTCGTGAATAAAACGTTTGTTTACCGAAGCCATTTGCAATTATCACCCATTCGTGTGCACACAAAATGTGACGTAACCATGATTAGTGGATTACGTAGTCGGTTACAATATATCACTATGTACGACAGCCCATTGCAGTAAGTATTGACACGACGGAAAGCAGACGATGAGATGTGAGAAGGTTGGTGCTAACGGTATCTTTTTTACTTGACATTTTGTAAAAATAAAATTTGGTATTAGTGAACTTAGCTGTTTATCTCAGTGCTGGAATATTAGATTTAGTGTACTTGCGTGTAATGCAGAGATTCGGAACATTTTTGTCAGCGAGGCGTGGCATTGTGTGTACATCAAAAGTACCGCTTTGTGACGTCATACAAGACTTAATTTACGAGATAGCATGATAATTACCACGAATCAAGGTTATCCACGAATTTAGGCAACGGTTTTGTGATATTTTTTGTTATTCCCTCAACACCAGGCTAGCTATTCTCGAAACGTTCATAACGCTACGAACTTCTTCAGCCCATTCTTAACACATTGGCTACAATATAAGTTAAGAATTCTTAGGGCTACGAAGGTTTCGAAAATAACAGCCCAGGCAGGGTAACAACAAGTTCCATCACTTTTGGTGGGGACTGAGCCAGTCACCTCAATCCTAGATAATCTCCAGGGTATACGTTACGATCACTCTCCACTATACCCTGGATGCATCCACCCCGATAATTATATTTCCTCCCTTTGCTGGCTCCGCATTCTCACAGTAGCCAATCAGCTAAGCAACCGCAAGTTTGTCAGTGATTTTTGAGGAAATATTACAGACAAATTGACAGATCTGAAACTTTAAAAAAATATATAAAAGAACTCCTTCTACCTCTTTCCGAGTACCTCTGCATCGACTGTGTTGCCAAGTTTAAACGGTTAGATAATTTAAGAAGCGAAAGTGAGTTGTGATTGGTTCGCTCAACTTCCAAGCGGAGACACCTGATTGGATAAAAAGCCAGCCAAGGGAGGTAATAAAATCATCGGGCCAAGCCGTGGATGGATCCAGGGTAGTGGAGGTGATCGTAACGTATACCCTGGAGATTATCTAGGATGAGTCACCTCATAGTCCCAGGGAAGATGTTAAAACAGACCTAAAGGTGGTCCAGAGTTCAAAGGAGACAGGAAATCCTATTTACACCCGTCTAATTACCTTTACATTATGTACATATACAGATGAAGGAGTGAATATTTCAGCTTGGTCTTGGTTGGTCTAGTACAGCATTAATGGTGACAAATAATCAACCAGGTCACTAAATTAACCACACAATCCTCACTAGTTGCCTCTTACAGCAACCACATGATACCCCACGGTGATCAATCTGCCTTCAAGTCCCACATGGTCCAGTATTCCAGCCAAAACTTGGCATGTCTGAACCAGCATTCATGTCGACATACAGTCAAACAGCGTTGTGTCGAACTCGTCGGGACCAGGGGGCAAGTTCTACTTATCCGAATGTTCGACAAATCTGTCAGCACTGCTTTCTCTAACCATTTTGAACCATTTCAAAGTGCTTCCACAACATCATCAAATTTAGCAGCACACATTCTCTTACAACAAGGTGAAAAGCTTGACTGACCAAATACCTCTTTGATATTATCAGCATTTTTTATCCATGTAGAAAGTGTATTTCTAGGTTCCATTTCGACACAACCGGGAATTCGACACATCTAATTCAAGAAATCAGGGTAAAAATAATGATAAATATAAGGATATTGTCCGGGACCAAGAGATAAGTTCGACACAACTGAGAATTCGTCTGAACCAAGTTCAAGACACTGGGGTTTTGACTGTATTTCAACCGGGTCACAGGTGAAGTACTCCAACCAAGTCCTAGCATGTCTGAACCAGCATTACCAAGTCCTAGCATGTCTGAACCAGCATTACCAAGTCCTAGCATGTCTGAACCAGCATTACCAAGTCCTAGCATGTCTGAACCAGCATTACCAAGTCCTAGCATTACCAAGTCCTAGCATGTCTGAACCAGCATTACCAAGTCCTAGCATGTCTGAACCAGCATTACCAAGTCCTAGCATGTCTGAACCAGCATTACCAAGTCCTAGCATGTCTGAACCACCACTACCAAGTCCTAGCATGTCTGAACCAGCATTCATGTCCAGTATGTAAGTAACAACCAAATAATCATTTCTCGCCTCTTACAGCAACCACATGATGCTGCAGTGACTTGGCTCCCTGTAATTTCCATAGGATGAATTATTAGCACATTAAGTAGTGTATGTTCAACACCCAACACTGACCAATATCCTGAGCTCTTGCTGCAAGAGGTCGCCTCCACTGAGTGACAAACTTGTAAGCATCCAGTCTCACTTCAATGACGTTGTTTAGCAGAGCGAATAATGGTGCCAGAGGGAATGCTGCCACAAAAATAGTCACAAACCCATACTGTATCACTGAAAGAAAGAAAAGCAAATGAATAAGGTGTGAGGATATTCAAGAGATATTTTATGATGGATGTCTGCAATGGCTGAAGAAAATATGGGGAACATGTTCATGTCCTTAAAATAGGTTTTAAAGCACCTTGAGCTTACTCTGTAAACATTAGGTCAGCCCTGGCTAAATGCATTCAAATCAGTTTCAAACTTGGTGCATGAAAAGGAAGTAACACTAAATTATGACTGAGTGAGCGAGTCTAGTTTTATGCCACACTCAGCAATATTCCAGCAATATGGTGGCGGTCTGCAAATAATGGAGTCTGGACCAGACAATGTAGAGATCAACAACATGAGCATCGATCGATGCAATTGGGATACGATGGCATGAGTCAATCAAGTCAGAGAGCCTGACAAAATGATCCTGTTAGTCGCCTCTAACTACTAAATTATGAGTACCCACTATTCAAAGATGTATCTCAGAGTAAAAAATGCAAGGTATTGCAACACCCCATATTTTTATAGCATTTATGTTATGATTAACCAATGCAAAAGAATTGATTCAAACTCAATTTAACTTACTATCTGGATGAACTGATCCTTAAGGAAGATTTACATGGCAAATCTTAATGCTAAAATGCATTAAACTGCAATCACTTGACTAATAATTTCTCTTTCAAGGGTACTGTGAACATATTCTACAGCAATATTCCAGCAATATCACGTCCTGGCTTCACACATGGTACCCATGTGGGGAATCAAACCAAGCTCTTCAGCGAGACAAGTGAACACTTTAACCACTAGGCTACCACTATTCTACAAGTCAAACCCCATGGACCAACTACTTACCCATCTCCAGATATTCATCAAACAGTCCCAAGTCAGGCATGGTGGAGAGGTTGTAATCTTCCTCCCAGCGAGGAAGAGTCTCCTTCTCTTCCTCACTCACCTTCCGCGACTTGAACCAGTTCATCAACTTCCTGCAAGAAACAGTGGTACAGTCTAATACTTGCTAAGAATGATTTTCTTGGTGGTGTATTTTACTCCAGGAGAGCTCCGTCTTTGAGCTCAAACAATCAAAGCCTGAAGTAGAATTTATTTCCCCATATTAAACACACATAAGAAGCTTCAACTTAACTCAAAGTCAGCTCTGATGGGTTCATCTCATCTTGATGAACTACTACACAGAGCTCCAGATAAGATTTAGCTCATGTGGGTACTGTACCCACTGTATTTTTTGGAGTGGGTATTATGAATGTTGAGTGGGTATTTCATTTTCCGTTACCAACTGCCTTCAAATATGTGCGTATTTCAGTCATTTCACTCACCTAAGTATTATGTCATTGAGTAAGTTTACTAAGCAGGTATGTCCTGCCTTATGTCATACCTAATCAAAACCATGAAATGAAATGATTTCATAAAAAATCACTCATCCTATACTGACAGTACAACACTAGTCCTATACTAACAGTACAACTTGATAGCAATCGATGTCTTTTTCATTACGCAAGCGATTTTTATAAATATACTCCGTACGCATTTGTTTTAAACTTTTTGCGTATCTAACATTTTAAAAGCGTAAATGGTACGCAACAATTATTTTTTCAATGCGTAATTGGAAATTTTCTATGCGTATTTTACCCGGATACGCAGCTTATCTGGGCCTCTGACTACATGTCACTACTGACACATGACATTGCATTCAAATATGTTTGGATTTTTTCAAAATGGCAGATTAAAACATATCAGCGAGATAAATTCATTGTTGGGTATATGTGGTCTTATGCCTCAGTGTTAAGCCAGAAATAGTCAGAGACAAACCATAAACATCTCATGGAGGGGAAATGTCATCTGTTGCACGTCTACACATTTAACTGACATGATAGGCTCGGCACAATCATGGAAGTACTCACGGTAGAATAACCTCCTTGAAGTTGTTGAAGGTCTGTTTGCCAACCATGATGACACCCAACTGTATACACAACTCTATCAGACAGCCTGCCGGATCACACTGGAACATAAGCAGATCATCACATACCTCCCCCATCTCCTGGACTACACAATGCTTTATTACCCTTAAGATAAATTTGTCAAATTCTGATTAGTCAATAGTCAAAGCATACAAAACCATGTACGTGGATTTGCCAGGGTGTAAAAGCTGTACACCCCGTCAAATCTGTTATGTGACACAATACACTGATTGTACAAATGACCTTGACCTTATATGGAATGTGGCTGCCAAACAGGTGATCGCTTCGAAGTTTTAGAGTTAGCGTATACAATTATGTATATAAACAGAGTAATAAAATTGTTGCTATAATTTCTTATTTGTTTGTGTCAATAAAAATATTAAAAAATAAAATGTTTCTGCATTTGACTTGTCGTTTAACAAAACCTAAAATTCATTTTTATCATAGACTAAGCCATAACGAGTTAGCTCCCTTTATGACCGTTCAGGCAAAAATCATGGCGGAACGTTTTGCGTCTCATTCAGTGCCTTCGGCTGCGCCTCAGGATACACAGAATTTACAAGGGTCTTACAGTCCTGTACATCCTTTCAAAACACTGTTTAACTAATAGTGTCAGCTCATTATGTTTGTTTTTCACTATTGTGAGCAAGAATGATACAAGAAACATACACGTGTGAGTCATGTGGATTTTCAATTTAAAAAATTACAAAACCTTTTTGGACCCTGTCATGAGGTGAGTGAATGAGTGAGTTTAGTTTTACGCCGCACTCAGCAATATTCCAGCTGTATGGCGTTGGTCTGTAAATAATCTAGTCTGGACCAGAAAATCCAGTGATCAACAGCAGAAACATCAATCTATGCAAATGGGATCGTGACCTGTGTCAAACAAGTCAGCGTGCCGGACCTCCCATTCCCATTAGTCGCCTCTTACGACAAGCATGAGTTACTTAAGATCAATTTATCCCGGATCTTCACGGGTCTATGTCATGAGGGTGTGCTCTTCAACATGACGAGAGAAAACCTGACATTCTACAGATACATAGGTTTTGAGAACACTATGATAACTTCATCAGGCCCCATTTCTCAAAGCGATTTTAGTACTAAGTAAGGACGGGACATATGAATGAACAACTTCTTTCTTTACAGCCAGGAGAAACATTTTGGTGTAGATTTTAACATCATTATCAAGCACCGAAACACTCTTTAGTTACATAGTACTCCATGGGTAGTTCGGTAGCCTAATGACCCACACCGAAGACCCAGGTTCGAATCCCCACATGGTTATAGTGTGTGAAATCCATATCTGGTGTCCCCTGCCTTGACATTGCTGGAATATTGCGAAAAGAAGAGTAAAACCATACTCACTCACTCACTCAGAGTACTCCTGACGTGTATATGCCTCTCAAAGAAGATCCTAACACAAGTACTTTTATTCATCTATGTTACAGTATGACAGCTACAATTGTCTTAGTTTTTGCGAAACAATGAGCTTAGTACTAAGAGGATGAACGTGTACTGGAACATGGTTCCACAAAATGCCAAAATGATACCAACCTCTTCTTGTCTGCTGCCAAGGATTGCTCTGTTGTAGCTGCCTGGGCGACCGGTTAATCTGAAAAAAATCAGTGTTTTGAATCTTGTGTCTCATTTGTGTTTCAAAAGAAATGCAAATATTACCAATGTTTGAAATTTTGTGAAATAAAAGATAAATGGATGCGAAATGGTATGTGTTCGATACTCAGATAGTCAGTCTCATCGTTGTGTGTTCTGAAGATACCAAAGGGATGCAGGGATTTACCTTGAGTCATGTACTTGAGGGTCCCTGGGACTCATACTTTTAATTTTCAGGGGGTCCTGGACTACAAAATGGAGGTCTAAGGCACTTAAACATTATCTTTAATTCTATGTTGTAGTATTGTTGTAATTCAGTTACTGTTATTGTATTGTGTATCATGTTCAACACATTGTTACAGTAATTAAATTGCAAATGATACCATAACCCGACTAGTAGCAGCCTCAGTGATAACTTATTGTTACTTGATCCAAATCTTTATTGGACTTTTTCTGCGTCCTTTGTCAATTTTTATGAGCATAGGACGCAGCAATTCACTTCCTCTAAATCCCTGAGCCGCAAATGAACGCCATACTCACCGCTAAAATGTCATTTTCCATGTCATTCTTAAGTCATGTTTACCTTACCACATGACACAATATAAGGACAACTTATTGACATTATCACTATAAGATCATTAATGTGTTCACTTTGTTGTTTTCTTTGCCTCTTTTCAGAAGCAAACATCAGTCACAACTGTATCACAGTTTTATGTGATATATAATATTGTTAAATATAATATTTGTTTGACAGAATATAATGAATAACACATCAACAGCTAACCTGTTACTGTATTGGGTAGATGTTATATCAAGTTGTAATACTGTCTGATGTACGCCTTTTTGTAGCTGTGTCACCAAGCCAGTAGGCTCGATAAGCCCGCTACCAACTATATGACATGTAAATAAAGCTTTGTATTGAATATGAAGAAAATCAAGTGAACGGTTCTTGAGATAGCTTAACATGCAGGTAAAACGTGAAAGTCCCCATGTGACCTTGAAATGAAGGTCAAGGTCACCAAATCTGACTTGGACCTTTCTTATACTTTGAAGAACCTAGCTACCAAATATGAAAAGAATCTAGAGAACAGTTCTTAAGATATTCCAATTCGTATGGACGGACGGACGGAGCCTAATACTGTATCCCCCGCTTCGCGCTAAACGCGCGGCGGGGGATAACAACAAGAAACCAGTGAAACATATTCTGACAAGCTTAAAACTGCTATAAAAATTGTTAATTTTGTTTCAGTTGAGTGTGCAAAAAATTACATGTATAAAATAGTTTAAATAAAGCTGTGAAAGTCAGTAAAATAAATGTGTACACAAGTGAACTAAAAACAACTAATCACACATTTTTCGACATCCGTGCACTGCAGCATCATATGACGTCATGCTATTGCTGGTGATACAGCTTCTTGGGGGAGAGTCTGGGGTTACAGAGGGTAATATTTTTTCCAGTTGTCACCCTCCTGTCAGGGGTGACACGGAAACTTGTTAAAGTGTCATTGACCAATGAAATTAAAGTATTTTACATGAAGGTAAGATAATCATATTTGTTAACCAATGCTCCCTATATGTATCATAATCAGGTCATAGCGGATTCGTTGCAGCCCAAGACTATAAATATCAGGTGTTTGTGTATAGATGAGTAAAGAATTTCCTTGTGGGTTTGTATACTCACTTTCCCTTGAAGAAGGCAATGTAGAAGAGAGAGGCGTAGTGGTTGACGAACTGGAACAGGAACATCTTGAGTGTGAAGCTGTCTTCCCACTCTGTCTGTGTGCGGTGGGTTTCTGTCAAAATAGCGCCACATTATACACATGCTCAGCACTAAGAGCGGCACAGCATAACCTGACAATTTCACTCATTAATCATAACATATCAGAATGTGGCAGTGATTCTCGGTGGGAGCAAATGACTGAAGCACTTGTAAAATATCAATGCTGCTCTGGGAAAATTGTAACAGGAAGTGTGATTTAGAGTTACCCCCCTTGGCTGTTGACTATTACGGTAAACCCTATTAGCAATGGTATCTCATGACAGTCAGACTGTTTCCCAGGCGGGTAGCAAGCCAATTCTTTCGTGTAAGCCTGATTGGTTGCAAAGCTTTATATTTAGATAGTATTGAGGGTTTGGCCAATCTTTTTAGCAACAATCATGTGTGAACCCGGGCTCTTTTTTTTTTCTTTTTTTTTGGTAATGGTAGCTATGCCCCTGTATCCTGTGGTTTCAGTAGGCTGGCTGATATAAGAGTGTGACAAGAAGGACAATTCGAGGTCTACTTCATCCTAACTTAAGAACAAACTTCAGGACCAAGGTATTTATTATAATTAGAAGATAAAGCTACTCTGTTTTCAAGTTTGCAATCTTTTATCGTTGCTTTAGAAGCACTAAATGTAATTTAAAAACTGAACGCGTAAATTAGTGTTTAACTGCCATTTAAGTACATTTTGAATGAGCTCTCAGCAAATAAGAATCAAGTATCACACAATGTCAAGCTAGAATGAACTTTCTGTTGTTAAATGAACTCACCAAAATGTAATGAGCTTACCAGATCATGTTATAAACTGATCAAGCACATTTTCAACTTACAACAATGTAATAAACTCAAAACAATATGTAAAAAAACCCAACTGCTATTACTACCCCGAAAAAGGTCTTTTGTAACTTACCAAAATTTGTTAAGACTTCGGCAATGACCAAGTACACCTGCAAGAAATGATGAAGAATATAGCAAGACTGTCATATGAATAGTCATTTACATCATTGCACATGATCCAAACGTTTGATAACATCATGTACTTCCTGAACATCCAGTGATGCCTAACTGATCGAGTGGCATAAAGTCAAGCATATTTAAAACTTAATACAAAATACGGGGCGATGGGGTAGCCTAGTGGTTAAAGTGTTGGCTCATCACGCCGAAGACCTGGTTCGATTCCCCACATGGGCACAATGTGTTAAGCCCATTTCTGGTGTCCCCCGCGGTGATATTGCTGGAATATTGCTAAAAAACGGCATAAAACTAAACTCAATCAGTCAGTCAGCAATACAATATACAATGCTGGATATATTCACTGCCCAGGGATATATGGGAAGCGAATTCCTGTGTCCTATATGCATAAAAATTGACAATCAACACAAAGAAATTTATTAGCACATCCTCAGGGACTCAGAAAAAGTCCAAATACTTTTTTTAAAATTCCAATCAAATAACAATGAGTTATCACTGTGTCTGCTACTAGCTGGGTTATGGTATCATTTGCAATTTAACTACTGTAACAAAATGATGACCATGATACACAATACAATAACAGTATTAATAATAATGTTTAAGAGTCTGGGACCCCCATTTTGTTGTCCAGGACCCCTGATCTATTTGAGAAAGGGGGGGTGCACACTATTGAGAAAAGGAGGGGCGCACACTTCATTTTCACTCGAGTTTCAATGGTCATTTAACAATTTTCAGCACAACCCTCTGGATCCGCCTATGAAGGGACACAAGAAAATGTTTTTCACACATTGTACCCATGTTGGGAATCAAAGCAGGAATGTTTTAACGCTAGGCTACCCCACCACCCCCAAAGCTGTGATACCTACCCTGCCTAGCACGATGATGATGACAAGATTGATGCAAGCTGCTGTTGCTGATGTGATGGTTGATGCTCGTTGACTGATCTCCTCCTGGTCAGTGCCATACAACAGCGCCGACACCGTGATTCGATAGACGATGACGCCAAACACTGCTGCCACTACCACACACAACTGTCCACAGAACAATAAAAGAAAAGTCAATCATTGTGGACACAAAATATGTTAATAATAGGTGGTGCTTCAAACGCAGCAGCCTCGATTGTCACATACATATCACCATACTTACACCTCTCTCTCTCTCTCTTTTGCGTCTGTGTGTGTGAGGGAGAGGGAAAGGGAAAGGGAAAGGGAGAGGGAGAGAGAGAGAGAGAGAGAGAGAGAGAGAAGAGAGAGAGGGAGAGAGAGAAGTGAGAGAGGGAGAGAGAGAAGTGAGAGAGGGAGAGAGAGAGAGAGAGAGAAAAAGAGAGTGAGAGAGAGAGAGAGAAGGAGAGAGGAGAGAGAGAGAGAGAGAGAAAAGAGAGAGAGAGAGAGAGGGAGAAAGCATCTGGACTCTTAGTTGACCAGTCCTTGTGTTTATCCATATTATCATGCCCAGAAATCAGACCACCACTGTATCTGTGCCACTACGTTCACAGACAATTCTCAGATGTCAGAAAATCCAACTGTCACACATTTATGATGAGACACACTTACCATGAAAAGGACGACCCAGAGAGAAGACATGTAGCGACACAATCGACTGCCCAGTGACAGGTACGGCTCCTCAATCTGCAACACACACCAACACCTGTCAGTCATCTTCCTTGTCTTAAACAACCAATCATTGGTCATGTTACAACATGAAGTGTACAATATGCAATGCACACACTTCAAATTCAATACATATTTTGCTTCCAATTGATTCTACCTTTCTATCATTTGAGTAATATCTGCCTAATTTCAAAATCAGGTAACATACTTAATCTGAAAATTACTGAAATTGTATACATAATAGCAATCAAGGCAATGTGTGCAAAGTTTTTAGCAAATAGTTATTCTCACATATGTTGACACCCATTCCTCCATATTTACATCTTAATGAAACGTGAAACAGGAATTTGCACGACAAATAATTATTACAACAATGAAAGGCGAGTATAAGAGTCATGATTATTGCAATAAATTCCAGTATCCAGATCAACTGTGTTGTCAACATGTCCAATAAACATCATCATCATCATCATCATCACTTCACATTCCTATACACAGATCAAATGAACTCTCTGATGGTGATACAATAGGGTAATGGTTTCCCACAAAATTGACCCCCATTAACAAAACGAATGGCACCAAAATCCCCCGAATGTTTGGTCAATCTTACCGGTCTTAATATGTTTCCACCTAAACATTCTCAACTTTTTAAAACTTCTGTCCATATTTATAATGAAACACCGTTTGAAATCTCCCATCCTGCTTAAGATGACATTAGGTCATTTGTGACAGATTCAATGGTTTAAAACAAACACCAAGAGATTATTGATAGAACTGGTTACTAGTATCTGGAAAATACCTTTCCATTTCAATATTTCATTATTCTGACTAAATGTGTTTTATTTTTCTGTGGTCGAAAGCTATTGAGTCAACGTGGGTAAATAGGAACTGAAATTTGAAGTCTGTGTTTGGTGCCACTCTTTCACCAAATCTTTGGAACACATGACCGAAGTGTATCACCATAGATCTACTGTTACGTATTAAAATATATGCAGCAATGTATGAATGAGTCATAAAAGCAATATATACATATTGATGCACTTGACAAAAAAATCAACTTTAAGAAACAATCTACAATTATTATAGCAAATAGATATATGATATATGATTAATCATAATATTCATTACTAGCTATCAGTCTGAAGACTGTCACTCCTTAAACAATGTAACTATCGAAATACTGAATCCAAAGGAAGAGTTTGTAAATATTTAATTCAAAACTTATGAAACCGAATGCAGAAATACATTATTGATATCTTGAAATTAGCAGTCTTGAAGGAAGGTTTGATATGACCGAGTATGTTGATAAAACACCCATGCTTTGCAAGACTGGCCAGACATCAGGATGGGGATTGCCAGTAACATAGTGAATGAGTGAAGTCAACACAAGGAAACCAATGTTGATGGCAACAGCAACCATCCATGCCATTGGGTGAGTGAGTGATGGGTTTAACAATATTTCAGATATATTGCGGGTCAGTATGTGTGGGGGCAGGTCGTTGCAATTTGGCACTGTCAGGAACAATTTTGGCATCATCTAAGCCAATCTGGGAGTCAAACCCATGATCAAAGGTTCCTGGGAGAACTTAGCAAGCCCTACACGGTGACATTGCACAAAGTGATCTTAGCGCTAAGGTAACTACCATACCTTAACATAGACTTAAGGTAGTCTTAGCGCTAAGGTTGTTTTGTACAACGGCACCTTGAACCACGAACAGCTGCATCTGAGACTGACAACACGGCCAATGAACCAAATCATTGAGCTGACCACCCAATTCATTTTCACTCTAACAAAGTAAACTCATTAAGGTAAAATAGCAAAGCCTGGTGTTTTAGCATGAGAATGTTGGGAATTCATGCAAAGTCTTAGCCATGATAAGAGACAGCAAGTGTCATGCAAACCCAATAAATCCATGGTGACAAGCCAGAACTGTAACAGAGCTGAAATCGTTCGCAAGTATAATAGGGTATGTTATCACCTAAAGAGGTCCACGGTCATGTCCACATTTTGACAAAAACTTTAAAAGAGGTTATACCCAGTGATCAAATATTCTGTATAAAGACCAAAACATTGAATATAGCGAGTCTTGTCAAGCACAAGTCAGGGAACCTCTAGTTTGTATGATGTCGTTCATAAATTTTAATTTTAATTTTAATTGTAGTCATCTCTGACAAAGAGTGTCTTAACTACAAGGATTCCTTCACACTGGTGGAAATATAGACAACAGAACATTTGTCAACACATTTTCTAAATCAATCCATCAGTCCACCAGAGTTATTGCCCTTTGTAAAAGGGAAGCTACTCTGTCTAGTCCATCAAGGTTACAGTCAACCATGAACTGTCATACCATTATGAAAGGCAGTCAATGTTCCACATAGTTTCCAGGTAAAATACTTGTGCCAAATCTAACAGATTTATATTCTGGAAAAGATCCTAAGTCCCATTGTTCCATGCAAACATATACTCAGATGATCTTGTCAACATCTTCACTACATTGATTCATAATTCATTTCTGTTGACCTACTTGTGAATGGTTCACCTGCTAGCTGTCATGTGTAAATATTCATAGTATGTTTCATGTAATCTTATTGTTGGACATTCGTTCAAAATCCCTATCTGTTGCTTTTAGTAAACAAGCCATGTAAGTGAAACAGGGAAATATGTGACTAAAGAATTGCTATAATTCAGCTTAAGGGCCTGGCAGTCAGCCCTCACCAAGCGTTAACATCTGCAGCTTCTTCATGTAGTTCAGTCAAGATAATGATAATAAGGCCACTTATATAGCACTGAACTCCACGTCACTGGGACATGCTCTAAGCGCATACAACATAATGGACATTACTGCCCCAGATAACCCAAGATAATCAAGGTAATAGTCATAAGACTTATCCCACCTGGTACCCATTGTATGATGGGTGAACAGAGGCCATTTTGAACAAACTCACTTGCCTAAGGTGAGACCACATGTGTGCGTCAAGGTTTCAAGCCTAACAGTGACCCAGAACGTAATCAACTCACATACAGCCATGTGAAGGTCAAGTCAGTGATACATGGACAACAGTCATCACAAAAATGTCAACATTATCTGACATACCAACAGTCAGTTTCAGTCAACGTTTAATTGTATGCCTCTGACATTTCAGAAGTTGGTGAAGACTTATCTAATTAGTTACTGCAAATGGTCAAAAGGTCTGTGGGGTTTTCAGTCTATGTCGCCCAAAAATCTCCTTCATCCATTTAGGGAACATTTGCTTATTTCTGTTTAGAAAATTAAAATATTGTATCAACTGCATCAGTTTCTGTCAGTTAGGGACTATATCTATGGATCTTCCAATTCCTTTAAATATTAAAATGACCAAGAAGATGGTTTTGTTAGTTCAACAAGTAGTATCAACTTTACTCCAGCTCTTAACTACCATTAGCTGCAGTTTCAACCCAATGGTTAAAGAACCAATCATAAAATTAGAAAATCAAAATTTGAAAAAAAAGACAAGAATTAGTCATTCACATTTTTTACCGGTAGTTACATTTTCATTGTAAAGACCATATGAATCCACAAAATATGATAGGAACTAATATTATGTGTTCATTGTTCAGTCGATAAATCCCCCTTAAATTCTATAACTCAAAATGGCTTCAGTAGCTGGATGAAGCAATGATGTTGTCATGCGGAAACACCACTCTGACATTTCCGAAAAAGTTAAAACCACATGCGGTATCCATGAAATGTCTGTTGGTACCTGGGTGATTTTGTTCCTATAAACCTGGATAAAGCAAAACAAACTAAAACAAAACCTATCCTGAACTTTATCTAAATGTTCCAATATAATCATCCTTAAAAAATGGTCGTCAGTAATTTAATGTTTTTGAAACTGCACACTTTTCTCCAGTCTGTGACTATAGCCTGTCATCCAAAGTCCTAGTCTAGCTTCTGTTTGTCCCAGTAAGATCAGCTACCTAATATGCCATGAGACAATACTAAATGCTGCTAGAAAGGATCCAATTTGGAGCTGCAAACTGAAAAGGTTATTGGCCTCTCTGTTTCTCATATACCATCTCTGTAAATAGGATAACTGGTAGGGCTATTGTCTCAAATGAACACAAACGTGACAACCAGATATGTGAATAGAATCTCCAATTCCTGTGAAATAAACAATTGAACTACAGCTAAAATACTGATATCATTCCCACCTGAATTATCTATGAAACAAAGTAAATCAAAATCAGATAATTAATTTCTTCTGGTCTAAGGCACAAAACACAACAACTGGAAGGGAACACAAAGCTTTATAAAAGGGTAATGCTTATTTTCAGAAGCTCTCAGATTGTCATTTGTTGGCTTTTATACCAGTCTGAGAGATTCTGAAAATATACTGTCCTGAAAACAGTGTTTTTGTTTCTGTAGCAAACATGGATGTTATCAGCATGATAGTGTCCTTAAATAAGTTCAACACAATCAAACAAAAAGGTGTTCCAGAAATTTGTTATTCATAGGAACACAACAGAAGCCTTGAAACATTAACAATAGGGTAGGTCCAAATATGTTTGACCTTGGCCTTCAAAGTGTGACAAGATCGGTAAAGGGAGAAAATTTTGTGAGTTTAAACGTTACTTTCGCTGAAGGGGTCTTTGTCGGCACGGGTACAACAGATGTGTACCCCAGGTAAGTTTCTGTATACAGAAACGTACCCTGGCCATAATCAGAATACAGAAACGTACTCTTGGACGATTCCATTCCGCACTGTGTCGTTTTCTTGATTGGAACCGTCACACTGTTGTATTAGATACATTTGATTGTGTTGTATAAGTAATGAGAATAAACAGTAACGGATATTTCGCGATGTATAATACCACTCGTAATCAGTTGAATAGGAACAACTACATACGGTTTCGGGTTTGGATTGCGGAATATGGACTCGTCCACTTTTTAGGGTACTGGGTACGTTTCTGTATTTTGACTTTGTTTGGGGTACATTAATATTTCTGTATACAGAAACATACCTGGGGTACGTTATCTGTAGTACCTGTGCCTACAACAACCCCTTCAGCGTTACTTTCTCACAGCTTGCTGGTAAAAGTATAGTAATTAATAACACAAATATTGAAAGTACTGCTCATTAACTCACATTGATGTAATGTTAGATTTTCTGTTCATATGTAATCTGTTGTGTGCTTCCTCTTCAAAATTGCTTTTGTTTTCTTCTAAATATATGCACATATCTTCCACCAAGCTTCCAACAGCTTAATCGTGAGGCTCTGACTCAATCACGTGATTCAACAATCACAACAAGTGTTTACGTTCATAATCAAATTACCTATGACATCAGAAATGTGATTCAAAATATCTATTTGCTATGCAAAATGAGGGCACATGAATTAAGTCCGCCCTGATAAATTATTGACTGTTTTATTCCTATTTCCATCCATTTTAGCTACAAAATCAGGATAATCATATACTTCATCACACAACACAGGGAAGAATGCAAACATTTTTATAAATAAATATCAAAATCAATAACGTCCAGTAAAATGCAGCAATTATCAGTTTATAACTGATAAAAAATGTTATTCAAGCATTTAACTAACTAATTTACATATTAACATGTTAATATTAAAGTGAATGTGATGTAAAAGAAACCTGAAAAAGACTTGTTTTGAAATTTTTGGAAAAAATATTTCAATTAGAATATTTCTTTCAATTTTATTGCACTAAATACAGAACCAAGGCCTAGAAAGCAGATCTAGCATTTTATATTCATATATGGGCACAAAGCATCATGCAATCACCACTTAATGCTGCACTTGTGCAGTAGGAGTAAGTATGAACGTTGTTAATATCAGATTAGCATCCAATTTCTTTGTAGCATCAGATGCGCGTTTCAAGCATTGAAGGAAACTTGAACAGTTAACTGAAAGTCCTTATTGGTGAAATCTTAACAAGCATTATTCATATTGTGAAAGGAGAACAAAATGCTACGTGATTGCTTGAATGTAGGATGGCAAAAATATGCCTTTGCTTTGCTATGATATTGTGATACTCAGTTCGACAAACCTCCTGAAATAAAATTAAACACATTATGGTTAGCAGACAGAATGAAATACAAAAGCTAAAGACTAAGTTTAAATGAACGTGTTAAGGGGCAACAAAAAATCTTCCTATTAGCTTCAGTAAATGTGATGACCAGACCTAAGTATGGCATCTGTGAATTTAGACTCCTGAACATTGAATGAAGCTTGGGCTGGACTGATACCTTTGACAATTCTTACCAGGGCTCCAGATAATTTTTCAACATCAGGAGTACGTACTCCTTATGTTTTCAATTTTGGAGTACTGGAAAAACTTAAGAGTACATTTAGAGTACTGAATGGAATTTAATGGCATATCAGTAATCTTGTGTTTCGTTTCATATATGCACCACAACATTGCTACTCTTGTGTAAACAGGTCAATAAACAATAAAACAATACTTTTTCAGATAAATACGTCTGTAAATGATTTTAACACCGTACACCATTGCTGTGGTGCGTATCTGCTACGTTTTCTAAATTATTTCCTATCGTATCGTGCATATTTTCTATCCGTACATACGCCGATACGGCCCTTATCTGGAGCCCTGCTTACACTCTCTGTCTGTAGAATATTCTAAAGTCATCAATGTGAATGACAGTTTAAATGATGTTTAGACAGACAGACATTTTTATTCAGTATAGGGGCCTCAGGCCCAAGATACAAACATCATGATTGAGGAAATTTCCAACATTTCCATATAGAGTACATGTGTTTGAATCTTTGACAATATTAACAACGGACATATGGTTATATGGTTTTTTAAAGTATCAATAAGGTATTTGTTTCTAATATCATCATAAAGCGCACATTCAAGCAAAATATAATGTTCGTCCTCAATAATATTTACATTATTGTTTTTACAGTGGCTACACAGCCTTAGATGTCTATGAGTATTAGAATATCTTCCTGTTTCTATGGCAATTTTAAAATTTGAACATCTAAATCTGGAGATAGCAGTTCTTACATGTAAAGGTATATTACAACAGTAGTACTTTTCAATGATGTTTAAGGGACAATAAAATAAAGTTTATGTTAATCACAGTTTTGCTAGTGTGTGAAACATAACAGGGTTTGGCTCTTACAGAATTTGTTTTCAGGCACTTTTTAAACATTATATTTTTAATCTATACAACACTGATTACAGTCTCTTTTTGCTATGTTTTACGAGGGGGGACCACTTGCTGGTAGGACAGCCAGGTAATCAACAAGCGTGTGTAGTGAAATTTCATGCACAATGTGCACACCTGGCTGTTCTACCAGCAAGTGGTCCCCCCTTGTTGAAAATAGCGAAAGGTGACAACAAAATAATGATTGTTTGTTAAACAACGTTTTTATTCAGGTGTTCAAAATTAGGAGACAAATCATCAGAGTTGGTCAGTCGATTTCATGTGACTGTGCAAAATTTGGTTTTGTTGCATTTATTAGATTTTGTGTTAGTGAGCAATTCATCGGTCTGAAACGAAATCAAATGGATTGTACATAGCCTCAGTAAAATATGCTTGCATCATATCATGAAAATGTGGGTGATTTATTGCAGTTTAATATCCTCGGATGTGTTTCTTGCCCTTGATGTCTAGAAATTAAATGTTGTTCTTCAAAATAAATAAATAGACTTCCATAAACGCTCGACTTTATGGGTATCTAAATGCCATTCAAAGACTTTAGAAAAACAAGATTGAAAGACAAAACATATCGATAGATAGACAAAACCATTGGGGGTAAAACTGTAAAAGATTCATGTAAAACAAGCAAAGAAGCTTCTAAATAGTCACATTCAGTGCTGCAGTCTTATAGCATGGGGTAGGACTTCACACGTTTGAATGTAAAGAGACTTTTCCACATATACAGCATTGACGGGGTTTAGACAGAGCTTGAGAAATCAGAACTATGTCAATCAATGAGTCAACAACTAACATAACTAAACCCACTGACACAAACCTACCACTGCCAGTGCTGTCTGTAACAATTCATATCAGCCAATCAGAACAAGTTTAACACTCATACAGCCAATAGCAAGGGCTGTACCAACTTGACACTGACAGTTGGTTTACTAAAATTCTCCTCTTAAACCAGACCAGCAGAATTTGGAAACAAACATGAAAATGAACCATAAAGTTAACATGGCTGACAAATTATGTCACTGATAAGCACAAACAAACAATTTTTAAAGCAATTTTCATGTATTTTTTTGTAAATACTTAATGACATGCAGTGATCATAAATCCCAATTCAGAATACAAATAAACAATGGAAAACAGTTTTTAAATGTCTCTCAAACAGACATGAACTTAAAATGTTCACTTCCAAATATGAAACTTCAACAATTTATTGATAATTGTTCTTCCAAAATTTCCCACATACCTCTGAAGCATCAGGGTTACAATGTTTTGAAAGCTAAAATAGGACAATTTACAAAAGGCATGTATTTGACTTAAAATTTATACTACATGATATTACATATTGCATCTACGCATACAGACATACAGTAAAGAATTCATCTTCCTTCCACAGTCTGCCTTTGCCTCAGAATGGAGAATATATTAGTCTCCTAGGATTCTAACTGAATTTTTGCACATAATTGGAATTTTTTTAAACTTCCTGTTTTCTTAATTTCTGACCTAGTTAAAAACAAAGTCTCTTTCTTTATTGGACATGTTATCAGTGAAATAGTTGTCATCTTTAAGACTGAGTGAGTGAGTTCAGGTTTACATCACTTTTAGCAATATTCAAGCAATATCACGGAGGGGGACACCAGAAATGGGCTTCACACATTGTACCAATGTGAGGAATCGAACCCGGGTCTTCGGCGTGATGAGCAAACGCTTTAACCACTAGGCTACCCCATCACCCCCTCATCTCTAAGACGTTTCCAGGTAAGTGATGATTATATTAACATGAACTGGGTAAAGTTTAATTTCCATTCAGGACATTTTACAAACATTTACTGTTTGGGCCAAATATGGGCATCTGAGGAGGTCCAAATTAATCTCTGCCTCTCTGTATACAAAGGGAGAGCACACAATAATTTTGACGAGATTTGTGATGATCAAACTAAATGCATTTCACGGTGCAAACAAACACAATACTGACCTACTCAAAACTTCCAGAACAATACAACTAACTTAACATTACTTTAGTTTAAAACTATTTTTCTGTATGGAAACATCGCATTCATGAAATAAAATAAGTTTTTATCCATAAAATATTTCAAAATTGTACCTAAAAAATACAACTCAAAGAAGTTATATTTTAAAACTAACCCCCTCCAAAGACATACAAATTTGACTTTAGCATTCTATGCACATACAAATTCGCACCGTTCCTTCCTCCAAAGCTGTGCATTCATTCACCAATGGCTACTTGCTACCATGCTGCTGTCTATACATACAGTGACACTAGAGAGCTACCAACTTGGTGGGCTTAATGCTACGATGCTATCAACATCTCTAAACATGCTTTGTGGTAGTGGCAACAGGTCCTGAGAAAACTTACGTGATTGATGGGATTCTTTTTCATCCGTGTCACTGACGCTTCAAACTCTGGTCGTAGTGTTTCCTGAAACATCACAAATACATGCATATACTGTTAAAGGCACCATCACACGACTCTTCTCTAAAAATAAATAATGCATTTCTCTTCATAAACCTAGCAGCCTTCAAGGAAGCTTCCATTTCCTGAAACATCACAAATATATGGATATACTTTTAAGTTAAAAGGTACTGTATTACAACAAACTTCTCTGAAAATAAATAATGCATTTCTCTCAATAATACAAACTATCGGGCCCTCAGGGAAGCTACTATATCATTTATTCCCCCCCCAAAAAAATTACGGATTTAGATTACAATATTAAATTAAAAAGTTTGAATGTATTAATGCAACATTGCATTAAATCAACTCCTGCACCTTCAACCAGCCGAATATTATTTCAAGTGAACCCCATAGAGTTATGTCCCTTGGGGCGCTGTTTAGGAATATCCTACGCACAACTTGTGATTGAAACCAGTTCGACAAACACTGACTTATTGCATCAATGGGAAGCTATAGTGAGTACATATGCCCCAATATATATTATATAGGCCAAAATATTGTCGAAAATATGTGACATTTTGCCTTTAAATATTGTCAAATTCTGCTCAAATAATGCAAAATGTCTTGTGGATGTTAATTCCTGTATCACTAAATTATATGTGTGTGGGTGGTTAAATGAAGGCGGTTCATCTGCTGTGTGACGGTGTTGAGCATTAAGTATGGCCATTTGTATGTCATGTCCTGTAAATGACTGAATCTGGACCAGACAAATCAGTGATTGATATTATGAGCAATAATCCAAGTCATCAGGACGTCACATGACATCGGGCTTCACCACCTGATTCAGTATGTGACCTTCAGTAACCAGCAGAGTTTGACGGAACCAAGTCTGTGGTCTGGTATATGTTCGTTTCACATGTTGTTGAATGACTGTTTGCTGGTTGTTGTTAACACTGCACTCAGCAGTATTCCAGTCATATGGCAGAAGTCTGTAAATAATCGAGTCTGAACCAGACAATCCAGTGATCAACATCATGAGCATCGATTTCGCTAATGGGATACGATGACATGTGTCAACCAAGTCAGTGAGCCTTACCACCCGATCCCGTTAGTCGCCTCTTATAACAAGAAAGGTTGTTGAATGATGTCAACTGGACAATGCGTTCCTAATGTCAAACACCATCAAACAACAAAAACAACAGAGCATCAACTGATAGCGGAACTAACCTCTTCCTCAAAATCAGCTACATCCCAATCATATTCAATCTCAGCCTGACGTCGTTTCCACATTTCGGCAAAGAATGTTGCTGGAACAAGAGAATTATAATCATGAGCACCAACCACAAAACATGACGCCTGGCAAATTTTTATATCATTTCCGTTCAGGTATTTCAAAGAGTGTCAGCTCTAAATCATTAATTTGGCAGGCAACAAACTCAGGGAGCAGCATTTCCATTTCCTATCATTGCATCATTGCCTAGATGAGGTCTGCTCTCTTATTCCCTTATCCAGTGTATTTGTATATTTTGGGGTGGTGGGGAAGCCCAGGGGTTAAAGAAATCACTCGTCAAACTGAAAACCCGGGCTCGATTCCCCATGGGTACAATGTGTGATACTGCTGAAGTGGAAAGAGTTCCTTCCGTTCCCCCAACTCTAAACCAAACTCTAAACCTAACCCTAAACCTAGCCCTAACTTAAATTTTGGACTTTTAATCATTTTGTGTGTTCTCTAGTAATTGTTGTGTTAAGGTTTGTTTATAATTCTAGAATATTTATACATATTATTTGGGATGGGGGAACGGGAGGAACTCTTACCGCTGAAATATTGCTACAAGCGGAGTAAAACCCAACTCAGTCACTAGTTTATTTTTAATCAGATCAGCCAAACTCAGCAAGCCTGATCATCAAAAAGTAGTTAGGCTCCCATAATTGCATCTTACAACAAGCACTGTTTGCTGAAAACATTCCTAATGATCAACACTGTGGGTACATAGTGTGGAAAAGAGAAGGAGCCAGCGGTAGTCTGAAACCAAGCTAGTGATGTAGGATACTGGTGTTCTTCCTCAAAGAACAGAGATAATATTACACTTCTTTGTACTGTGAGCTTCAAACCTAAGTTTATTTGTTGTCTATTCAGATTTCCCGCTATAGACAGTTGTAAGTCATTTACTGTTTTGTAAAGTGTATTAAGGCCCGTCCGACCACCCAAGACGGTCTAGATCCATACATCTGAGTAAATTCTTCCATACATCTGAGTAAATTCCCCATATTTGGTCTGGTTAAATCCAAGTCTGGCTGCTTTTTTGGCTTATTTCTTACACTGTGTAAGCCCAATAGTTTTCAAAGCTGTTTATTTAGACAGTATTGAGGACTTGCCCAACCTTTTAAGCAACAATCATGTGTAAGCCCAGGGATTTTTTTTATAATGGTAGCTACGCCCCTGGTAGTCTGGTTATAATCGAGTCTGGACCAGACATTCCAGTGATCAATAGCATGAGCATCTACATAATTTGGATATGATGAGCCTGACCAGCTGATCCCATGATCTGAATCTTCATGTGTCTCAAGATTATGAGTGAGTTGAGTTTTACGCCGCAATCAGCAATATTACAGCTATATGGTAGCGGTCTGTAAATAATCGAGTCTGGAACAGGAAATCCTGTGATCAACATCATGAGCATCGATCTAAGCAATTGGGATACAATGACACATGTCAACCAAGTCAGCGAGCCTAACCACCCAATACCGTTAGTCGCCTTTTACAACAAGCATGGGTCACTGAAGATCGATTCTAAGATCTTCATGGGTCTTAAGATTAGGACTAGGATATCAGTGTTCATGAATGGTGTTTCAAAGTAACAGGACATTGGGTCCTGTAAGCTTCAGATGTCTATATGACCCATTGACAATTCACTTTTAAAGAATAAAATTAAACACACATTTCAGATTAAACATTTCTTATTATTTGCGCTGAAATTATTAACAAACATAAGATTTATAAACAGCAAACAAGTGTCACATGTCACATATAACAACTTCAGTCAAAGCCATCGTGGAATATACAGTCAGACACTGGGGCCAGCTGGTTGTACAGTTCTATCAGACCTTTGCCGAATCTGCCGGATTTGTCAGAGGGTCAGACGCTATTCGGAAGGAGCTTGTTATATCTGGATGATATAGCAACAATAAATGTACATACCCCACAACGCCATAAACACAGCAAAGGCCACCGTGGCCGGGTTGTCGAACAGATACGTGACTTGTGAGTACAGGCAACTTCGCTTCAGTCTCCAGAAGGAGCATCTCTTGTCACACAGAGGACACATGGTAGTGTTGCCAGCCTTATCCAACAGACAAATCTCCTGACTGAAAACAGATATAACTGCAGAGATAGGATAGATCGGTATCTAAGAGTACATATTTCCAACGTCAACCCTTGAATAAATGCCAGTTCTTCACTAAATGCCAATCTGCTATACCTCCAGGCAAACAATGCAGCTTCACAAATCCATTGATCCATTTCCATGGTTATTGCAATTGCAGATTACCTACGCTTGCTATTCCTAAAATTTTACCAACATATCAAACACAGACACAATCGCTATTATTTGTTTGTATTACAAGGGGTGAATACATTTTCACTGCAAACAGACTATAACTCATATTACCTAGAAACCAACTGCCATTCTTAATGGACATGATGAAGTTATACTTTCCATCTAAATGTTTTGAAGGCTTTCTTTTGCATGTCACTTAGACTTTCAATATCGAATTTCTCCCAAACTTCTTAACAATCAACTGAACATGATATAGCCAACCCAACATTGAAGCAGGTGAGTAAGTTGTAATGAGCAACTTTCTTCAGGAACTGAGGTAGTATATGCTCAGTGTCCTTCTGGATGTACAGTTAATATTTGTACATTATCATCAACCATTATGGAGTTTCATTTCATTCTCAGAATCCGGAAACAGTTGGGAGTGGTCAATACACTTTCATGAAAAACAGGGGGTAGCCTAGTGGTTAAAGAGTTCCTCTCGTCAAGCCAAAGACCCGGGTTTGATTCCCCATATGGGTACTATGTGTGAAGCCCATTTCTGGTGTCCCCCGCCGTGATATCGCTGGAATATTGCTAAAAGTGGCGTAAAACTAAACTAACTCACTAACTCATGAATAACAGGAAAGATTTTTACCTGGGCACATCATCCCAGAGTGTTCCAAGGCCAAAGAAGGTGACAACAAGACCAATAATGGCCGAGGGTATCAACATACTGGTGTAGTAGCCGAGCCAACTGAAGTAGATGCCAATCTTCTCACCAAAGTAGCGTCTGACAAGAAGAAAACATTAACATTCAAAATGCAAAATACATAATTAAATCGAGTCTGTGTTCTTAAAGATTATTGCTCATGATGTCAAATGATGTCAAAATTCAAAATGTGAGGTCAGCGTTTGAAATAGCTACTGGCCCGCTAGCCAAATGCTAGCTGATTGTGAATCAAGCCAGTAATATATTGTTAAAGCTATCATGAATGGAAAATGATGAAAATCAGACCAGTAGATTAAAGCTATCATGAATGGAAAATGATGAAAATCACGCCCAGTATTATATTGTTAAAGCTATCATGAATGGATGAAAATGAAGCCAGTTATTATATTGTTAACTTACCATCATGAATGGAAAAACATGAAAATCAATTCTGAGTATTATATTGTTAAAGCTATCATGAATGGAAAATGATGAAAATCTCAGATAATTTTTTCTTTAATGCACATGACTATGATGAATTCAGTTTTTAGGGTGTTCACTTACAATCTTCAATTACCAAACATCACACCAATTCTGATCGATGTTCATTTTGACATTGATATTTTGCAGGGCCAGTGAAGTATGATGTGGGCTAGCATCAGTTTTACTTAACTAGCCCTCCTGGCCAGTGAGTTTTCAAAATTAACTCGTACACTGTGTGAGGTACATAATTAAATCAAGCTTGTGGCCTGAAAGATTAATGCTCATGATATCAATCACTAGATCTTCTCACCAAAGTAGAATCTGACAAGAACAAAACCTTCACCTACAAAATTAAATCCAGTTTGTGGTGTGAAAGATTAATGCTCATGATGTCAATCACTTGATTGTCTGGTCCAGATTCAGTTATTCACAGACTGTCTTCATATAACTGGAATATTGCCGAGTGTGGCATTAAAACGACAGCCAAATTTCAAGGACCCAAAGACCCCATATTTCCAACACTTAAATAATTGAAAACACAACATGTGTGTCTGAAGCACTGAAAGCAGCTTGGGATAATTTTTGTTTACTTGAAATACATGATTTTTAACTTTCAGGGAGTAGGAAAGCAGAAAAAGCCTGCTCACTGTAATAAAGTACCTCTTCCTTAACAGTACTAAATTTAGGAAAGAAGGTAATATAAGAATGTAAGATACAAAAGACTGACGCAACAGGTGTGGATCATACGCATAAGACGAAAAACACAAGGCGATGAACACAAACCTGATGTAATCAAGGGGCTGGAACTTGTACCACATCGATGGCTTGGCCCATACTTCGTACAGAAGCTGAAACATAAGATCATCTCTTTGTACGCGCAGACTACTCAACAGGCACTGAAGCTCACCTTTTAAGTTTCATATGCTACTATACTTTCCTTTAATGTCATCACGTTTTCAAAGACTTTGCAAATGCTTCCATGTGGATACTGGTTATGTTTCTACTAAACATCATGAAAGTACTTAAATATTCAATAAAATATTCATTTAACAAATGAGCCTGGAAAGGTCATAAGAAAAATGTTGGTTCAGATTAATTAAAAAACTATTATTTCTGGGTAAAGACTGAAATTTATTTTGTTATTCAGTGCTGTACTTACATGTCTGTCGTTAGCCTTGCCTCTTGTCAATAACGAGTGATCACTTTTAAAGTTGCCCTGAAAATTACACAGAGTCAGTGAGTGAGGTAGTACCACAGTTACATCAACACAGGCTGTAAGTGAAGGAATCCAGTCCAGTCCCTGACCAAAACTTCTCAATGGTCCAAAGGACCAGCACAAATAAAACTCTACTGGTCATGTTGGATCTCTGAGAGACACAATGGTTCTAACCAAAAGGGATTTTAAAATATATTACTGGACAATTACAAAGAGATACCAGAAAAGAAGGTAACCAATGAACCATTTAGGGTTGTTCGGCTGCTGGTTTCTTAGATGCTGATTTTAGAAGTTATCCACATTTTAAATATTTTGTTTGTGCCCAACAGAACACCAGACCACCGTACCATCATTTATTATATATGGTCCTTAAGAAAATATGCTTGACTCGGACCAGCAGACCAGTGTCTTTAATTCCTGGTCAGTAACTGTGAGCAGCATCCACACTGTGGCACAGAGGCAGCCATGTATAACATGTGTTCACTAATCCGGTACTTTCTGTCATGTGCCCCCCGATATATTACTGGAATATTGCTCAGGGCAGTAGAAAACCACGCACAACATACAACGAGCGTACTCACAACTCAGCTTCTAAGTCACACTGACCACTGATTCATATTCAGTTATCATTTTCTGAAAAAACTTGAATTATAGTTGTCCAAGGACAAGTTAAACATTCCACCCAAACTAAACTGAGATTTCCAAGCTAACGGAATAATAATTTCCTAGTTTATCTGAGTGTTAATATATGAGTTTCATTGCTCGACTGGAAACGGAGCACAGAAAATGTAAATCTCCCTACTGCATACGTACCTCATGCAAAGCGTAAGCTGCAACATAGGAATTTGTGCTCAGCATCTTCTTGATTCCTGAAACACACAAATAAATTTTCGATAAGCTCTTTATTGGCCTGGCCTTGATAAAGTTGTTTGCTATCATCATCATCATCGGTTGCCATCATCATCATCATCATCATCATCATCATCATCATCATCATCATCATCATCATCAGTTGCCATCATCATCATCAGTTGCCATCATCATCATCATCATCATCATCATCATCATCATCATCAGTCATCATCATCATCATCATCATCATCATCATCATCATCATCATCATCATCATCATCATCATCATCAGTTGCCATCATCATCATCATCATCATCAGTCATCATCATCATCAGTTGCCATCATCATCATCATCATCATTGCCATCATCATCATCATCATCATCAGTGCCATCATCATTTGCCATCATCATCATCATCAGTTGCCATCATCATCATCATCAGTCCATCATCATCATCATCATCATCATCATCATCATCATCATCATCATCATCATCATCAGTTGCCATCATCATCATCAGTTGCCATCATCATCATCATCAGTTGCCATCATCATCATCATCATCATCATCATCATCATCATCATCAGTTTGCCATCATCATCATCATCATCATCAGTTGCCATCATCATCATCATCATCATCATCATCATCATCATCATCATCATCATCATCATCATCATCCTTACCAAACTTGTTCTTTCTCTTGTCTCCCAAGTCTTCATAAACACATCTTAACAGAATCTGGTACACGATCAGACTGCGTTGAGCTGTGTTGAAGAATGTGTCCTGATCTTTGATGATGAACCTGAAAGTATACACGTCTCACTGCATGCATACAGGTCAACAAAACAAACAGGGTGAACAACAAAACAATTTAACAAGGACATTCCACAGTCAAGAGTCAATGATGATGTCATAGTTAAACTACTGGGTAGCTACAGTACAAAAGTGGGGATCACACCATCTGATCAGCATGCACAAGGTAAAGGTTGGTAAATGTTGAACATGATCATCATATCTTACAGAACAAAGGAAGCTTGCTTGCAAATCTTTATTTTAGCATACCTAGGTAGGATACTAATAAATCTTTGAAGATATTAAATACATTAGACTGATCGAGGTTTGATTATTGCTATCATATGTTATACGTAGGAACAGAATCACATGCAAGCATAACTTTACATCCATGCAAGTAGTATCACAGGATATACAAGGGATTATCTAACAGCTGTTATTCAGGACTGGATGAACAGCTGACATGCAGAGTATTGCCTGCAGCATGCTTTCAGATATCATGGATACTGTCACAGAATGGAAAGGGCCGATGGGTGCTGTCACAGAATGGAAAGGGCCGATGGGTGCTGTCACAGAATGGAAAGGGCCGATGGGTGCTGTCACAGAATGGAAAGGGCCGATGGGTGCTGTCACAGAATGGAAAGGGCCGATGGGTGCTGTCACAGAATGGAAAGGGCCGATGGGTGCTGTCACAGAATGGACAGGGAAAGGGCCAATGGGTGCTGCAGAATGTCACAGAACGGAAAGGGCCGATGGGTGCTGTCACAGAATGGAATGGGTTCGATGAGTGCTGTCACAGAATGGAAAGGGCCGATGGGTGCTGTCACAGAATGGAAAGGGCCAATGGGTGCTGTCACAGATGGAAAGGGCCAATGGATGCTGTCACAGATGGAAAGGGCCGATGGGTGCTGTCACAGGATGGTAAGGGCCAATGTGTGCTGTTAGAATGGAAAGGACCAATGAATGCTGTCACCATGAATGGATACTTTCTCAGTGTGCAAAGTTGGAAAGTGCCAATATTGTTACAGAATTGAACTTTATATCATGGCTGTAACTTAGATTTCACCAAAATGCACATTTAGAATGTCCAGGACATTCTTGGCTTATAACAGAATATGCAACAACAACAGCGTGACATCATCATCATGAAGATGAGCATGAGTTGGTAGATGATCATATTTCTATTAATAAACAAAATCAGCATGAAACATGCTAACTTGTCACTGGAACATTCATTAGACATTGGGATTTAACAGCATCCCTATAAAACAATTCAGGGATAATTCACATAGGATGATCCCATACCACACCCATGAAGGACAACCTAGGGATTTACCCACATGCACCAAGGACAACCTAGGGATTTACCCACATGCACCAAGGACAACCTAGGGATTTACCCACATGCACCAAGGACAACCTAGGGATTTACCCACATGCACCAAGGACAACCTAGGGATTTACCCACATGCACCAAGGACAACCTAGGGATTTACCCACATGCACCAAGGACAACCTAGGGATTTACCCACATGCACCAAGGACAACCTAGGGATTTACCCACATGCACCAAGGACAACCTAGGGATTAAACAACATATCTATAAAACTCCGGAGGTTAGTTCAAAGAGTGGGGTTCACGGAATTACTGACACACAAATATGACTTAATATCCTCAAATGCAGACAGATAAGTATAGTCTTCACTGATTTAATAGTACAACATAGCAAATACAACCCCTGAAAACCATGAACACTACAACATGTATTATTGTTTCAACAAAATAATTTATTAATTATACATTAATTATATAAACATTGTTGCTGTTTTTTCTCTAATTGTTTTAAGACGTTACAATGTCAAAACATATTGATCAAATGAAGTCAAACAACATGACTTAGTAAATAAATATGTGGTGTCGTGAACACCTGGTGTTTGCAAAATACATGCATTGTAGCTTACCTGATGCCTCCCAGGAGATTTCGTTTTCTCCTTAGATCTCTTCCAGGCAATATCTGTGGAGGCCAGTTTTGGATGACATCTTCTTGTTTGTTTGTTGTTTATATTGCGGCACTCAACAATATTCCAGCTAAATGGCGTTCTGTAAATAATCAAGAATGGACCAGGAAATCCAGCCCACAGCATGAGGATCGATGTTTGCTACTGGGATACTGTGACATGTTTTGGATGATGTAATTGTTCGTATGAACACAGTGACTGGTTCACGTCAGGTCTGTGATAGTTTTAACCAAGGACACCATGCAACCATGCAGACAGTGTTTAGGACATACAAACGTGCAGGGGATGACGCTATAAAGGAACAGTAAAGATTTGTTGGAAAACCCCCACCCAGTCAACACTGAATAGAACCATGACCTGAGATAACTGAGCCGTGCAAGTTTCTCACAAGTCACCAGGAATCATCTCCGCTAATGAGAATGTTTATCTGAATTTTGAGACCAATAAATTTTGTTCACATCAACAAATATATAATGAAACCATTTTCGGTAATGATCAATAAATTTCAACTTATGAATTTAAGAAAAGTGTTTGCTTTACAAATTTGAAATAAAATACAGTCAAACATTGTGGCGCATTTTGATGTTCAAACATAAAGTTGCTTCATAGTAAAAGCTTGGTCCCTGTGTATTCCTTCTTTAGTTGTAATCTTACGGTTGTGTCGAAACTTGGATATCCTAGGTCCCTTCTACTTTGACAGAGTGTTTGACTGGATTTTGAAATTGAGGCTGTTTGGCATGGTATCTGGTGTTGACTGGGTAGTTTTCAAAACAAATCTTGGACTATTAAGACACACAGAATAAATGGAAAGTGTTCTTACATCCCTCTGTTCAATGGCACGGAGAAAGAATGGAAGAAAGAATTGGTGGAAACATACTTATAAAATAATCCGAGCTACATATGAAGAGAAGTTGAAAAACATAATAACACACTTATATATTCTTTGAATTTCAACATTAGATAAAAGTTGCAGCAATGAAAATGTCTTTTAATGCTGAGTAATATTTTTTTCAGATTAAATGATAGTACTTAGAAAAAGTTATTCTAGTTATGTAAGTACATACAAAAAACATAATGTCAAAATAAGCTATTATTCATTTGAAATTTCTGACCGCACTCAAATGTCTCTTCTTGAAGAAGTGTACAGTTTCAGTCAGGACAATGTGGATCATGTACCATATTTGTACAACAACAAATTACATAGTTTAAAGAATGAGGAATAATATATTAGAGAGAGGCACTAACGACGATGACTTAATAAGAAAGTTGGAAGAATTTAAGAACAGTTGATAACTGGACTGTAAAATAATTTCCTATATACAGTAATCTATCTAGTGTGCTGTCAAATTTTGTAACTTGATCATTTCTATGTTATATGTCCAATGCTTATCTAGTACATCAATGAATTTATTCTATACCATTTACATAACAAATGTTATAAAAATTATGAAAATTTGATCATTAATCATAAAAATGTTTAGTGTAAGCCAATCCCTTATAGCAATTGTTATTTAACCCTTTTTCAAACAAAAAAACATAATTGAAAAAGAAATATATTCAAATGATGAAAGATAAGTGAATTGTCAAAGGGAGATAATTGCAACACAAGTTGTCTCCCCTTTGACCAGTAATCAGGAAGTGATTCAACTCTACTCACTGGTCAACCCTTTCTCTGGAGAAGGCAGCTGTGAAGTAATCTGACATTTCAGGCAGTCGGTCAGGGTCAATATCAAACGGTGTTGGACATTTTGACCAGCAAGTTGTGATGTTATCTATCATGTCGTTTTCCTGTTAAACAAATACAAAATGCATTTGAATCCCATTCTTCTTTGTAAGAAGTGTACGGACACCTGCTTGGTGGAAATATTTCAAGCATACTTTGTCTGTTTTGCGAGTGCCTAGTCCATGTGCGTAAAAATCATGCTTATATTATTAATTGGACTGTGAAGATGATAAGTTGAAGAAAACATTAGCCAATTAGCCCATATACAAAATGGATGCTAGATGAAATTATTGGTATCACAAGAGAAAGAATATTGCTCCATTAGAGATATAAATACTTAGAGAACCCAACTTATGTCATGCAACAAATCCATGCACGCATTACACATTTCAGTCGGAGAGTCAGAAAAAATAGAAAACCCAAGAGGAGGAAGACATTTTACAGATTGACAACTTAATTATTGCAATATATGTGACATACTGGTGTAGATGCTAACACCATTATCACTTGCATGATAAATTTTTCCTTTGAGTAAGGGGCGGTGGGGTAGCCTAGTGGTTAAAGCGTTGGCTCGTCACGCCGAAGACCCAGGTTCGATTCCCCACATGGGTACAATGCGTGAAGCCCATTTCTGGTGTTCCCCGCCGTGATGTTGCTGGAATATTGCTAAAAGCGGCGTAAAACCAAACTCAGTCAGTCAGTCAGTCCTTTGAGTAAAAATATATTGTACCCACCTCACACAAATTCATTTGGGTATTTTGCCATTTTCCATTAATTGTAAAAAAATAAAACAGTTTATGTTGTTTACGTTTTTGTTATTAATATTTGATCTGTAATATGATAAACGATAAGGAAGACTGCAAGTTGCAGTGCTGAAATAGAACTTCTCAATATACTTCAGTTATTTTATCTATCCTCAGTAACCTCCATCACATTTTTGTGTGTACGCATGTAAGATCATATTTATTGAGTACTTACAAAAATCAAAGCGTACTTGTACGCACTAGACTTTATATAGGAATTGAGTTTTCACATAAATATTTGCGTAATTTACCTGGATACACAGCTTATCTGTACCTCTGATCCAAATAATTACATCTCAATAAAAAGAATACTTTTAACATGCTAAAACTGTTTAGACCAAGATAGCTGCAACTAGGATCATGCGGTGAACACTGACTTTAAAATGAAGGCAAATACTTCACAAAATCATGCAGAGCATCATCAAAGTCAAAAACAAGCAAAGCATCAACAAATTTCAAGTTCAAACTGAACAATTTTGACAGGCTATACACAGATGACATTCAAAGCAAATTCAGCAGAAAATGTCAAAAAGTAACAATGCAATATCCTCAAATAAACGTCTTGAACCATGTTAGTATTAACACAACAAGAGATGTCAATTACTCCAACTGGACTGGAGCGTCACAGACAATAGGACAAAATTAGTATTCATAAAGTATTCACAAAATTAGTATTCATAAAAAAACAAAGCAACATAATTCCATAACCTTTCATCTTATGTGAAAGCAGTACTTCCAACATCAAAACAAAAATATTTCTTTCTCATTTACATCTACGAGGACTATATTTACTCCATGTATTCTCCTAACAAAATCTAAAATACAGATATAAAAACAGTATCTTTTATGCCAATTCCTCTTCCACCCCTTGACCAAAATGCCTCAACCATTTTGGCTACTTGAGCAAGAGACGCTATAACCACTGTACATTAACACACTACAATGCTGCCTGAATTATATACTAATCTTCACCGCTATTTCTAATACAGTTACAAGAACAGCGCAATGGACATTATGCTATTGAATATTCAGCACTGCATCAATTATGTGTTTTATTTCATTGGCATCACAAGAATCTTGTGAGGATGTTAACTGAGTTGACAAGGAGAGAGTACAAGAATATCAATATCATCAGATCATGTGTCTACATAAAACCAGTGCCAAAAGATGATGGGTTAATAACCTAGACTTCATACTGAGAAAAGCATGTTATTCAACTGATATTACTCCTTATATGTGTTGTTATAAGTTAATCTTACAAGACCAATAGGTTTATACGATTTGAACGTTTGACTACTGGCTAAATATCATGGACTGACAATCTAGAAATCAAATGGGTGAAGCATTCACCCATCACACTGAGGTTCGATTCCCAACAAGGGTACAATGTGTGAAGCCCATTTCTGGTGTACCTCATAATGATATTGCCAGAATGTTGCTAAAAGCAGTGTAAAATATCACTCACTCACTCACTCACTCTATGGATGAAAACATAAATTTTCCTCAGCAACATTCTCCTATCCCAAAAGCCATGCATTCTAACTAGTACTACATAAGAGTCTAGGGTGCTACAATGATACAGTTTCACCTTCACGAACATGCACAGTGATATTCCATCACACCAGACAAAGACCTCCTCCCAAATGCTAAGTCTATTACTAAATCTACATCTAGGTAAAAGTGGACCTGCTAAAGCTCCCTGCTTTCAAGTTCTTTCCTAGTCTATGAATATATCACCATACTGTTATGATGGCCTGCATTTGGGTTTCAACAAGAAACTAACTTATATTTTCACTAATCTGACAGACTTGCCCTCTTTGAGCCTTTTTCAAGCATGTGCGAACCCAGAATTACCTTGATAAAGAAATTAGGTCTGCTTTTCACCGTTTCCTATGACTGTAACATCTAACTAACATACTTTTATATATCCTCTTTCAAATACATTAAGTAAAAAGAAATCAAGTCTCATTCTCATGGCACCATAACCTTAACTCCCGTACACCAAATATACATGCATTAATAAATGTTCAATAAAGTTGGTAAGTTCTTTACATATCTACATCCAATCAAAGCAAATAAACCAAAAATTATCAAAGGCGTTGTGTCCCTCATCTTGAAGGAACATCCTCAAGAAATACAAACCTTCAGAAATGGCAACATCAAAAATACTACTGTCATTCTCTTAACACTTGACATTTTCAAAAGCTGTTCATGATTTATTAAAATAAACTGACTAAATTAAAAATCTTTCCAAACTTTGCAATTAACTGGTTTATGGCACTATTAATCGATTTGCAGGAAAATTCCATGATGCCAATTCTACTATCTCATCCCAGTTTTATTTGAGCAGTTGAGAATGTTGGTATGGGCTCCAGTGGTGGCTTGGAGAAACAGAATTTTGTTATCTTGGTTTAGGCCAGACCAATATTATTCCTTGTTTTACGGATCCGGCCGGTCGTATTTTTTCAAGAATAAGAAAAAAAATATAAATTAATTTTCCCCACTCAAAAATATAAAATTTTAATATTCTTATTGGCCAAAAATGTAAATGTGCAAGAAAATGGTTTTAGATTGTTTTTGCCCCATATATACTTTATATATTGCCAAAAGTAAAATACTTTTAGTATTTAAAAGGAATATTACTTTGACTGGTGAATTCTATTTCTATTTTTTTTCCCTCCTGCCTTTAGGTTTTCTGAGGACAAAAATCTGTAAAACAACAAATGAAATTGGTCTGGCCTTATCCTAATTTACAAGTTTCCTATGAATACAGATATAACTTTGTATATTGTGAGTGTAAATAAACCATATTTACTAAAAAAATCTAAATTGGATATTACTGATGACACAATTATCATATGGAGTTTGCAATTATCTAATATTTTTAGCCAACCCTACACTAAGTGTTTTGCATATTTGTGTCACTGGATCCACAAACCAACTTTCTTCAGAGAAGATACCACCTTTAGATATGTCCCGTATTAGTGAATGACAGCAGAACATTTGTTACAACAAACTAAAGGAACAGGAACAATTGGGGAACAATATGCATATCACCTGAACACTAAGCTAATGAACCATGCCAATGTCCAGCGCCACCATTTACCATTGTCTTTTAACCATTATCTCATTGGCATCCATCACAAGTCTACATGCCAGTTGTAACCTACATGACATTTAACCATTTCAACCCACCCATGACACACGATTACATCAACATGCATGAGGCTTGCCATTGTTTACATGATACGTTCCACAGATTATAGTCTTGCTGTGAAACGGACATCTACATTTAATATACATGGGCAGTGATGACTGGACACTGACAGCTACTTACGGCGTCGTCGTAGTCTCCCTGGTCCTGTTGGTGAGTACATTCGGTGGGCAATTAATGTCACTGAAGATTTGTGACTACACAAACTAACATTTCTACTTGTCCAGATACAAATCTGGTCATCCAAGGCATACTTGTACTGATCTACAACTCCTCATTGTTAAAACAAAGCTACACCACTGCCTAATATAGAAGCTATTTTCTGGTTCTAAGAACTATGTATGAGTTGATAAGCTTTGATAGAAAAATTATAGAAGTCTTATCAAGTTTAACTGTATTGAAAACTAAAAACAAACAAACAAAATTTATATAAAAAATGAACATATTAATGAAGGAAAAATGGTAGAAAAATTCAAAGCATTCCTCTACTAGAAAGAGTAAATTTAAACAATAAAATGACAGTGAAATCTCTAGACAACCTGACAGCTCAAGATGGCATCATCATCATCATCATCATTCATGGTATCAACATCATCATCATCATTACAACATTATTACCTGCAATGGCATCTTCATGCTCATGATCTCTGCATATCTCGTCAGAACCTCCCATGTTGCATGGACCTTGACAAAATACAGGTTATCCTCCTTCAGAAGCTGTGAATAATAATAACAATAATTATATAATAATATGGATAATATCAAACAATATACCCTAGAGTTGAAACAACAGCATATTAGAATATAATCAAATTCTAAACAATGTTACATAAAACATCAAAAAAGTTACATGCCCATTCACAAACACATTACCAGTTAAATGAAACTCTGTGGATCATGTATGAATTACTACCATGATGGAGAAGGGCAGCATGCTTTAGAAGGTATTTCATGCCTAAGATGATTACAAGATGCAGAAAAAAGGTTATCTTAAACAGTTATCTTAATCAACAATTACCATTGTTACCAGGCAGGTAGTGTTACCTAAGGTGATTGCAAGATGAAGAAAAAAGGTTATCTTGAACAATTACCATTGTTACCATGCAGTGAGAACTATCGGCTCATACACCGAATATCTTAACAATTAAACACAAGTATGGTATGAACCAATTCCATCAAGGATTGGAATACAGATGCAGGTTAATGCCAATAATAGTGTGTGGAGTTACGGAAAAATAATAATGAACACATCAGATTCGGAATCTACAAATAGGTTAGCATTGAGTGCATGTGAAGAACATCGATTCGGAAAATAAAATGTGCATTTGGTTCATATTTGGTGCAGGTTTAGCATCAGTGTTTTTATTCAATGGTGACTTCGTCAATCTTCAGTTTCTTGAAGATTGGATTCTCCTAATTCAGGAAAGGTTTCAAATATGTTGTCAAGTTGAGACAAAAAAATATCACCTGACAGTTTTTAATGCAGATATCAACATTGAAGGAAGAGTGGCTCTTCTCACTGAGCATTGTTCCTTATAAACTACAAAGGGTTTTTGCCTATCAGTCATCACCTCATATAAGATTAGCTTTTAGACCAAACAACAATATCAAAAGTGTCCCAAAATTCCTTTTGACAATCCATAGGTTGAGATCAGTATCCCTATGGACAATGATGAGCTTCCAGATTTTGTTGTCTGTTGTTTAAGGCTGCACTCAGGATATTCCACCTATGTGACAGCAGCTTGTAACGAATCAAATATGGACTAGACAATCTAGTGATTGACAGAGTGAACATCAATCCATGCCACTGACATGCATCAACCAGGTCATCAAGCCTGACAGTCAACTTTTAAGCCAAGCATGAATTGTCAAACACATATTCAGATGAAAGGCAACAATATTTGGGTGACGATGAGTATTATCAACACTTCGAGCAGTCAATGCACAGGTCAAAGTCTTTGACCATCCCAACCTGATTTACTCAAAGTGCTTCACCAAATTTCGTAACAAAGGCAATTACAGAACCAAATCTGGCACACACAGCCTCAGAAACTGATCAGTTTTTTGAGGAAAGGAGCCACCTCAAAATATGTTGGTACTTCCCTCCAATCCTAATATGGCTGCCCAATAATGTTTGCAGCAATGTACAATTTAGGGAAAATTTCAATCTTCTCGCAACTTTGACAAATAAAAGGTCTTTTCTTATTCTGACAGATAACAAAACTCTATTTTGCATTTATATACGGAGGAAAGAGAAAATGTGAAAAAACGATATAATGTATTAAATTCTTATTGTGAAACTACTGGAGACAGAAGCTATTCATTCAGACACACTGACATCCAATCCTTATTTGTCAGCATGGGAACACATTCTGACCTGGGGGCCATTGTACAAAGCGATCTTAGCGCTAAGGTGACCGTTACTCCCATACCTTAACATAGACTTAAGGTAGTCTTAGCGCTAAGATTATTTTGTACTACAGCAGCCTGTTATGGGTCTCTTCATCATTAGATAGGCAACAAACCACCACCAATATGTTAAAACAAGGTGTCATACAACTGAACAATGTCAATACCTTAGCCATGCACATACATGATGATTATTGCATGCGCCATCATTATGATTATTATATGAATGAGGTGTTATTAAACATATGATAATAATTTTCCATTATTATATGTAATAAGGCCAATATGTACAGGGAATACATATTCTACTAAACTCTAAGTATAATTTTTAGTTCAGTACAAGTTCTATCTACCCATTATAACACTAAGTCGTGAAGCTAAGTCCGCTACACTTTACACATACTTGCTGGATTTTGTTTTGTTTACCCAGAGGTTTCTGTTAGTGGAGAGATGAAATTAATTGGACTTAAAACGCTAACTCTGCTCTATGCAGAAAATAAGAATGACTGACAAGACTCCACAAATTCGACTGATGTGGGAATCAAACCCAGGCCTTGGGCAAGAAAAGGACATGTTGAACTAACCCTGCTGAAAATATGAATATGATGAAAATGTGTACCAAAATGAAATCTAAATATTTTGCTCACATTTGAGATATCAACATGCATGGATGATTATTATTGAGACAGCTTGAAGCTGGCTGTGTTAAATTTATCAAAAAAAAGTGATTTAGTCAAATGGGACTTTGATATGGGAGAAAAACTATCACAAACCCACTTGGTTATTCAACCGACAAAATGATTATGTTTAAAGGAATGAAAAGTTGGATACATGGTGAAATCGACAGTCTAAAAAATACTATCTAAAACAGAAAGTTGAATAAAAATCCCATGCATGAACATTTCAAATGTGCTGCAATGTATGTGATTTGCCAGCATAGATAAATGAATAAAGATATGAAAATGAAACAGGGCGAATCCATCACAAATTGTGATAATTGGTGAAAATGAACTTTGAGAAAAAGGGAGAAAGATGATGCATATTGATTATCTCCCTTTGAAAAGGTTGGTCTTGTATTAGTTTCTTTACATTCTACAAAACTATAGAGTCAGGGTTTGATATTCTAAGTAAAATTGCAAAAATCATCTTTTTGATATTATTCTCTTAAAACTAGTTAAAAGTATGCATGTTCTGGCCAATGGAATAGGAACAAAAAATGAAGTAACATTATTGCTTGGTTTCCGCAATAAGTAAAGGAGTTACTTCTTTTACTTATTGATCTACTACTTTCTGAATTTTCATAACTTATTAGCCAAAACAAACTTGCCATTTTTGGTCTAGGGTCTAGGTAATTGGGAAAATCCTAAAGAATATCCATGTTTGTTAAAATTATCATTCTGAACATATACTACTCAACAGAAGTGAGAGAACACCACGACATGATGGATTGTTGTAACCTGTAAGAATCAGGCGTTCTCTAAGTTGTTTTGAGTAGTATGCTTGGGAAGGGAGACCTGGATGTGAAGATAAACCTCATTTATCATGGGACCCTCTATTATCGCGGTAGTTAATGTTGTCGCCATCGGGATTATGAACGGCTACTGACATTTAGCATTTTATGTATATTTTCAGTTGACTGATGTTTAATCTTCATTTCTGTCACAAATAATGTGACACATGGTCGCAACTCGTTTAATACCATTGCGGCAATTCCGATTGTCTCGTTTGACCCGGAAATTGAAGCAACTCTCTATTATCGCGGTATTGCTACTTTCTTACTATGGCACGCGGTACAAGCAGATGACACTGTGAAACGTTTACTAAGACAAGTAACGAATCTAAATAGTTTGATCATTAAAAATATTTAGGAATTTCATTCACATTCGTAATATTATCAAGTTTTTAACCCAAACTTCTGAAACTTCTATTGATTCGGATACAAGGTAACAATAGCGTTACAAAATATTGTTTTTCCGGCTTAAAACGTACCATACAAGTTGCTGCCGTGTGCAGAGTGAAGTTGCATAATACGTCACTTCCTGTTATATTTTTAGCACGGAAAATATGCAAATGACCTTATAGTTGTCGCAGGATTGCTCTTGATGAAGTAAGTTTTGATTCATGCTAGATGTAATGGCAGTAGGGGTCATACTAGTTTCAAAATGTTCTAGAACTTACTGAAAAGATGAATGCTTTAATATTTCTCCGATTACACATAACATTCAAATGAAATAAATGACTTTTTCAAGAGCGATGAATATATTTTTTACGTAATTTGCATATGTAAACAGCCGATGTGGGTGTGGTGTTTCTGCTTTCCCGATGTTTTCGCGTGCCGCGATAATAGAGAGTCCCAGTATACTTTTATTTGTTAAACTTTAGATGAACACAATGCAATACTGATGATGTATTATGAGATATGTAAAATGGATGATGTAATATCATGCTGAGTAGTAGTGTTTGATGGTTTAACCTGAAACATTTCATAGCATCTGGTACATACTTGCTGATTGGAGAAGCAATTGTAAAGTTACAATCAGCCTTTGAGCATCTAATTTACAGTAAGTAATCATTTAGGAATCAGAGCAAAAATAAATTAACCTTTGATAAAAATGTTCAATTACTCTTTAATATTTAATTATTCAAGAACTTCTGTATTGACAAACATATACATTATAATAATTTCATGCAAACATTAGTTTCAAAACATGAACTTGGTTAAATATTGGAGTATGCCATTCAACAAGCAGCTGAACGCAAAATCTGACTAGTTTTAATCATTATGAAATTTGTTTTGAATATTGGAGGATAATGAACACAACAAATACCCACTGATTTTGTTCACTATGTCATCTATGTAAGAGATATATTCCCTAAAATATCATGCTTATCAATTGTTGTTGTTTGAATCTTATCATAAAATATGGCCACTATGGCAGCCATATTGAAACTGATCTCATTACCAGCAACAAACAAAATATTCAAAACAAAAGTGGGTAAACATGCTTTTGGAGGGCTTTTTGTGTTCTAACAATGTTAGACTTAGTATAAAATTTTGGAAAATACACAAATGATACATGTTGAGTGCAACTACTAATGCCACACGTACCAAATTTCATGTCATTTCATTTTGAAAAAAAATATGACTAAACAATGGTCATAAATAGACTGTTCAATATGGCTGGCATGGCGGCCATATTGAAAATCAGTTGCAGACTACACAAACGAATTTGGTGTATTATGGGAAAAGGAATGTGAAGTTCAATTTCACTTATCTTGTGGTTCCTAAGGAAGATGTGTACACACCTGGACAATGGACAACTTTGACGGATGATGGACAAATAGGCCATAACATTAGCCCACTTGTGACTATGAGGCTGGTGAGCTAAAAACTCACTAGTGTGACAAGTATATGTTTTTATCTCTCTGTTTTAAGGTTTGTATGGAACTATGTCAACTGGTGTATAAGCCATGATGCTGGGCCAAGTACTGTAGCATCAGCATCTGGACATTGTACCAATTTCTTCAATTTCATCAAGGTTATAGATATTCATGCACACACTATTCTACATAATATATCAGATATATATCTGTGTGATATTGAAAAGTGAGCTGGATAATTGCGAAAATACATGATCCAATATACATTTCACAGCACTGCATGAATCTCAAACAATTTGGATGTATCAACAATTGGTAAGATATTGGATTATATTTTCTTTTGGCATGTGTTTTAGCAGAGGTGTAAGAATACAGTAGGACAATATTATACATATCCCTACACTAATGATTTAATATCATTTGTATCTTGATACAGTACTTTTTTATTAATATTATAAGTTGATATTCTTTCTTTCAGCAGGTGAATCACAACCCTGAATCAGTCCCTTAAATTTCAGAGAACAAAAAGAGATATTCTAAGGTGGAAACATACAGTCTAAAGAGCACTATGACTGATATGCTATTATAAAACTTGTTGTACAGTTCAGTTTATCATTTTAACCCTGCATTGTTATGTATTAGAACTGCAACGATTCACTCAGACATCCATACGATTCGATTTTCAATATTGGACCCTCCATTTGATCTTTTTCGATTCGATTCTTCATACAAGTAAAAATATCAGATTTCATTTAACTCTCAGAGCCAGCTTTTTTAGCGTGAAATCCATCGTCAACTTGGCGATGTCTACTATCAACAATTCCCACTGGATAATTAGCCCAGCGTCAAGTTTCGCCTTATTTTGGTGCTCGAAACTGCTTGAGTCAAAATTGCGTTCTTGCTGTGTGGAAATATTTAAATAGGTATTCCAATATCCACATGAAATAGTGATAATGGTTATCGAAAATCGAAACTAAGAAGTCAGATTCGCTTTTTGATGAATCAAACTGAATCGTTGCACCCCTATTACGTATCATGATACAACAGTTGAAAAGCAATTGTCCTGAAAGCCTCGTAATAATACAATACAGTATTGTTGAATCATTACACCACTATCTGTGTTGTTTATTGTTGTTATTCTGCACTGTGCTTGGCACCATTCAGTGCTAGTTAAAGATGCTTATATCTGCACCCAAAGAAGCTGTCATCCATACAAATGCTTATTATAACTTAATGCTTAAACTTGTTAAACTTGCATTCATGAGCATGTGAAGACTGTTACAGTTTTAATATTTTAAGTTTATTCGTTGAGATAAGCTGCATCATGTTCTTAGCATGTGGTATGTGTTAGTGCAATTTTAATTTGTGTTTTTACTTTTCATATTTCAACAGTAATCACATAAAACTTCCAATGCAGTTTTTTGGGCGTTAATAAGGTGAAAAGGAAACAAATTGTTTTGCAGTGGAGTTGCATATAGGGATAAAACATATAAAAGCAAATACCATAAAATAATAATGGCATCATTGATAAAAATGTGCAAGTAGCATACATGACTTGTGTTTTGAGTACAACAAACATTTACCCCATCCTCTTTAGACTGAACTGTCTGAAAATTATTACGTATTTAGAATGTGTCCTTTCTCATCATACTATCATATAAACAATCTTTTAAAATATTAAAATCTTTTCAAAGAATCCTATTTATTTGTAATTTAATGGCAGATATGAACATATAGTCATGACCATGTTCATATGATAATTTTTGGGACGTAACATGAAACATTTATTAAAGCTTTGTGATTGTTTAGCCTTTATAACATTTTTGTCTAATTCATCCTGCAATAGCAGTGTGTGTTTTCATATCAATAGTAGAAAGATATTTGGAGCTAAATAATGTTTAACACCTTCGATCATATTGAAAAGCTTAATGTCATAGACATAAAACGTGACAGCAAATTCATAACAGGTATCAAAAGAGGGTCACTCATTGTCGTTAAAACTGGGACCAATTTCTGATTGGCATAATGAAAAATTTCAGAATTCCTGCCATATCACCACAAATGATTATTTTTCGGATTTTAATAAACAATGTTAAACAATCCACTGAGTATTTTGATCCTCCAGAAGTCCAAGAATACCTGAATCCCAAAGCACTACACAAAGACATCATTCTTCCCAACAGAAAGATTTAACACACTCACCCACACCTGTTAGACATGGTGGAACTCGTGGAAATCCTACTTTCACCAACACAATGATGGTGATAAATAATCTTCATATCGCAAATATGTTTAAAAATGAAGAAATTTGAAAAAAAACAACTTTTGAGAGAGTAACTACTATTTTTTTAATCATTTTTGCTGATGTTTCTTTCTTTTGTAAATCAGTTACATATACACCTACGAATTCCAGTATCAAACATAGGAATACCAATGAAGAAGTTCAAATGAAGCTACAAAGATTTTTTGTCTATTTTATAAAAAAATACAAGACATTATCAAATACATTTCCAGACTTTTTTAGATCATTTCTATTCAAAAGAATTCTTTTCAAGGGGATTATATTGAACAAGATTGTTATGTAAGTTGTTCAAAATGTGGTCCAAAAACTCATAGCAAAGCAAACAAATTCCACACACATAATTTCACCATGATCATCCACAAAACTCAATGTTAATTAATCCAACTTGGAAGCATGTTTGCATGTTTGGACAAAAGCAACTACATCTACGACCAATGGTTAATCATTCCACTTCCAAAGTAACAATTTCAGCGCAGAAGCTGTGGGGTCTCAGCTTAACTTCAGCACATATGTTTCAGCAGCTGCAAATATCGAACAGGTTAAAATTGTTAAAAATGCTACAACTGAACAAAGATCCACCACACAATGAAGGAAGCATTCTTGGACTCGGAAGTTGCTGTCACGTTTTACGCGGATTTCAACATTCATGCTTGGAGGGGGTTGAATGTAGTGAGGTAACACGACTGTGTTTGCTAGTATGGTATACTCACCGCCTATAGAATTGTTAAGAAAAAGTAAAATAAATGATCAGTAACTATGTAAAGAATCATAGACATGCCATAAATGCTTGTACAAATACCAAAAGTTGTTCTGTTCTGCGAGATATTGCCTCAAATGCAGAATACATACAATAATTATCAAAATCAATCTGAAAACATTTCAGACAGAATTTCAAATCCATGTTAGATATATTTTAGCAATATTTTTAGTACTAATAAAATAATAGGTTACACAAAACAATCACAAAAAGGAAAGATGGATCTTTCTATTTCAGGACAGGGGAGACCACTCTAAAAGCATTGTGTGCCCATGTCCAGTTCACAGTGGCAGGCAGAGATGAAAGTGGACTTGTGTACATGATTGAATCATAATATTTCATATTGTCTGCTTCAAAGACAAAGATTTTCTTTTGGTAATCTGTCAAGCATTTATGCTGTTTTCAACCATCATATAACTTTACTCAACTACATGTTCCTAAGTACATTTACAATCACAATCTTAATATCTTGTTGCTAGGTTCTAGCGCTACACAACACAAAAGATATAGTCAATACATTGTACTTAAACATTTCCAACAAAAAAAATCATAATAAACACTTTCTACAAGAAGACCATGATAAGGTAATGACTAGATTTCCACTTCAACCCTTCACATGTACTACTCTATTTTTGAAAGGGAATTACATGTATTTCTCTTTAATATAATACCATATTGATTTGTTTAATAACTTAAATTAAGGCAATTTCTTACCAAAAATGTCTCAAACTGCCTTTTAAAATTCTATTAAATACCAGTCATGAATTTCGGTGCCAAAGCAGAATATCAACGTAGTTTCACAAACATCAAAGCTAGACAGTTCTTTATCAATAGTCCTGTAATTTCTAAAATTATTTCATATGAATATTTACAATAAAGTTCTGACACATTATTTCATCATGTCCTTCTTTGTCTTGACTCATTATACCCTTGTGATCCAAAAAATGGTTAATGGAATGTAGGAATGGTTCCATGAGTTTGTCATTCTCAAGTTCATGGTACATGCACATGCATTGAAACACTGATTATGTAACATTGAGAAATGAAGAGAGAAAATATGTTATAAACTTCCATCATACATATCAATATAATATTAACAATTACAATAAGATGTTCCCTGAACATCTACATCAAACTGAAAAGACTAGCTTCATAATTTGTAAATGTTGCAAATATTACTGTTATGTCTACAATGATAGGGAGAAGAAATTGAAATATTAATTGGCATCAAAACATTAGTAAGATAAGCCACACTCTGCATATATAGAGAGAGAAATAGAAAAACAATTTGTTATAAAGATAAGTAATTAAAAATCTAATAACCTGCTTAGTCACTAAGAGAGTTCTCAATCAATCACTAAGCAATGGAACTTGATTATTGAAACAAACCTATCAATATATCTGACAATGAATACACTTACACTCTTATGTTCATTTATATTTAATTCAAAATCATATTTAACAAAACCTCTGTAATTATCAGCAATAATTCTCACCTTCTTTTCTTCAATTTCCAGTTCTAATCCCTCATTTCTGAGGTTTTCTTCAAACACGTCCCTTCGTTTTTTGCGCTTTTCTTCATTGGAACCAGTGTTTGTCTTATAAGCGAGAACAAAGTCAATTCTTCTTCTTCCATCATTAAAGAACATGGACTCTGGGTCAGTCTATGAAAAACAAGAAAATCAAAATAGTAAGTGCACATGCCTTTAACCCTTTCACTGGCATGAATGTCAATAATCAAACCAGTGAAAAGTGCAACATAACAAAGTTTTGATATTTCAGGAAGCAAACATCCTAGAATCCTGTCATAATAATTTGTTCCTTTTACCCAGACCATCACATTTGTGAAAGTTGACGTACAGGAGAGGGGGGTCTTGATGATTTGAAAGAGACGCCAGTTGCTAGCAAAGCAAAGCATGATCGAAATACCAAAGTTCTTTACATATCAAGTATTTCAACACTGCATTCAATGAACACGTGTAACACTAAGCATAAAGTGATTTTTTCGCTTCACCTGCCATCAAACTAGAAGTTACCTTTGTTAAGTCAAGCAGTATGCTACCATAAAACAGCAATTTGAATTGGGAAAGAGTTTATTCTAATTTTTAGAAATTAAAGAACATTTCCTATAAACTGGAGTCAAATATAAACTGGCCTCTGAATATGCCTTGGAAAGTCCCTGCCTCAGTAACATCCAAAAAATAAAACTACTCCTTACATCCTTTCACATGAATGGAGACACAAATATGAAAGATTTTTTTAAAACAATAATTTCAATATACTTAGCTCATGTTTGTCTTACAGACAATTCTCCTAAATGCAGATGATATTGTTTCTAAATAGTACATAAAGTCATAAAATATTATTTGTTGGTTGATTAACATATTTCAGCAATGTTCCAGCTATATGATGGCAGCTTGTCTGGGCCAGACAATCCAGTGATAGATATCATGAGCAACGATCCATGTCCTCTGGGACTGCCTTAGGATGCACACCAACCAGCACTGAGCCTAACCACTCAATCAATTAAGTTGCCTCTTACAACCAGCATATATAGTTGCTTGAAACCAATTCTAAGTAGAATCCCAACATTTTATAGAAATATTTGTGAATAATTCATTCCCAACTTCATGCCTCTGAAGGTAGATTATGGTGTACTCCATCCACAGGTTTTAAAGTACAAGTAAGGACTGATATATGTATTAGTATACATTAACACAAAATCGATAAACCTATAAAAATGTTAGTATGACAATCAAAATTCAATAGGACAATCAAATCATGCAGACAAATTGCCTTAAGCAATCAATTATAACATTTTTGACTGACATTTCATAATAAACAAAATATATACAACATTTATCATGCAAACCCTTTTTGTGTTTTAAGCTAAAAAAAATATTTATTTCATGTGCATCAATATCAGTACTTTATTTCAAATAATGTTTTGGCTATAAACATATTTAGAAATGGTTCAGTAACAATTCATATACATGTACTTGGAACCAGAAGGGCCTCATGAAGAAATTGCTTACCTAACAGTATGTAATATGGCAGTAAGATTTATGTTAATACTCAGTATCAGCTTGACATTGTATCACACAATAAAGTAAGCAAATAACATTGCTGATTCACATTTAACACCCAAATAACCTTATCTCACAGTATACAAATATAATACTGATAATTTTACAAATGAACTGTCTTGACTGCTTCAGAGAAAATACTTTTGAAATTACTGAAAGGGATAATATTAGTATAATATACATTATTGTTTCACTGACTTCCCTTGCCAATGTTGTACGAATAAAACATGATTAATACCAAACCAGTTTTACAAATAGGGTGGGTTGACAGTAACTTCATGATACCAGAAACCCTCATAGTCTGGTCTCCAACACCTAGTTATTAGTGTTTATGCACATTAGAAAAATGATATGATGCATGGATGTCTGCCATTGCTCAGATGATAGAACTGTTTTCTCTAATACAATACATTACAATTCAAAACATAATCTACAAAGAAATAGTTGTATAGGTTATAAAAATATGTATTTCGGTTTCTGAAATTCTTGTCTGGAGGTGTACATCTCCAGGCCTATATCTGCAACATGCAACATATTTACTGACAAACACCATTATTCCATGTTACTGAAGAAACTTAAGTACAAGAAACACAATAATTCAACACTATCAGTCAAAACATGAGTGCATCTGATAAGTTGTGCAGTATGGAACAATGATGACCATGAAAGCATGCAACCTTGTCTCACCCCTACATGACGTCATGCTCGACATGCAGCTTTGCCTCACAACTACATGCCATGCTTTGTCTCACCCTGCATGGTGCCATGCTTGACATGCAGGTTTGTCTCACCCTACATGACGCCATGCTCTCAATGCTACTGTGGTCCACTGCAGCATCACTTACAGTGTTTACGTGTTCTAAGATGTCCAGCTCCATTGCATCAGTAGTTCATGCAGGGTATTGTTAGTTGGTTGTCTTGACAGTTATACTGTGTCCTCCAATTTTATACATGATGCATGCCATATATTTTGCAGCATCTGGGAATATACTTTAGTCAGCTAAGTAATGTCACAAGTCGGATCTGTACTTTCTCATGGTAATGTATCATCAGAACATATGTTATTATTCTCCTATCTCTATTGCAATATGATAAAGCATATTTTACCATACCATTTGGATTTCATTGTAACATGACTTCATATTTTACCTTTACTCAACTGCTTAAACATCGTTCAGATCAACTATTTTTACAAAAGCAAATTACATATTGAACAAAGTCCTGATTTGAACTGTTGGCTCCAAAATGCAATCTGAAAGTTCTACCTCTGCCCCCAATGCTGTGATACAGGCATGCAGGCTATTCAAAGCACAGATACGGTGATATTCAGATATTGACATATGATGTTGTAATATAGATTTATCATTTTTGCTGAATGTCATTACAGACCTTCTGGCACTACAAGTAGGGGAGGATACAATAAGTGTGGCTCGTCATGGACTATCTAAGCATATAACTGTGATGAATTATCTATGTATGTAATCATAAAGAACTATCTAACCATATTATGAACAGAAGATGGAAAGGGAGGGAATCTTTAGCATTAGACTGAAAATAGCAGTTCTAGCCTTGAGATTTCTGGTTCTAAATAGTCACATTAAAAGTCTTAGAGACTTACAGATTAAATCTTAAATGAAATTACTGATTGAGAAACAAATACATTCCTATCAGTATTGAATGAATACACCTTTATAAAGCTCTGAAAGCTCTTAAAGCGCCATAACATCTCACTACAAGCAGCAATATCCCTGAGCCATTTCAGGAACTTTACAGGAACTAATCTGACTCTTTATTTCAAAAACATTAAATTCTGCACAGCAGCTTCAAGAACACCGGCCGGGACAATGGTTTTACAGGAAATGATCAGACTCATTATTTCAAAGACATTTAATTCTGCACAACCGCATCCGGAATACTTCAATGGGTTTTAAAGAATATGCCCTGAAAGGTATCACAGAATGTACCGTGGAGGGTTCCACAGGTAATGCCAAAGAGCTTTACAGGTTGTGTCTTGAAGAGTTTCACAGAATGAGTCCTGATGGGAATCAAACCCTGATCACTGTGACAAGCAAACTTCTGAATCGTATCTTAATAATGCCATTCTCTATATGTCTGAACCAAAATGAGTCACTGACTTTGCCTGTCAAATGACTGGTAATAACAGATTGTTTACGTGTTTACATCCGTTAAAGCTTTATCAGTCAATCTGCTTTATTCATTAATTGAATGTGATCCTTCAAACCTTTATACTGATATTATATGTAGAAAAACTATGATTACTGAGAGTTAGAACAAAATCAGTCACTCAAATATTTTAGGGAAAGCACAAGGAACACTTCCTTGGAACACCGCATAATAACCTTGGTCTTGGTCTTTCAAACAATAAGGCTACAATATGGAGAACACAGCATACAGATGGATGGATGGACAGAAGGTGGACGTACAATGGATGGACAGACGGAAGGTACAAGAGGTCAGTGCATGTGTCACCTTAAGATGCAGCTGGTCATTGTCCTCACGGGACAAGAGGACCAGGTCTTCCCGACTCTCTTCAGGGTCCTGCAACTGGACGTGTGAAGGTGGAGGTGACACTGGTCAAGGTCAAACAAGGGTACAGGTCGAGCCTGACCATCCCCAGAAGTCAGGAATACAGGTTTGGGGCTGGTTTGAATTTCATGATTTAAAGATAGAAAAGGTTTAAAGAAGGAAAATTTGGAAGAGAGTTTTAAAGTTGTAGAGACTTCTGAGTGAAAACTATATGCATACCTTCACTCAAGTAGTGAGAAAGAATTTCTTAACAAAGGCTGAGAAAATTGAAAGTAGGGCCCCAAACCTGAAACATTTTTCTCATGGTCAGGCTGTCTGTGCTGTGAAATGTTTTATAATAGAATAGCACACTCAGCACCTTGTACACATAATAGTAAACATTTTAAATCTCTGAAAATGGGGGAAATATGAAGACTAAAATATAATTGAACAGAAATGGGAATATGTTCAAGAGTATCAAACAAAACATGACACAATGCTGTTTGTCTGTGTATTTGTTGTGTAATACTGCAATCTGCAATATCCCAGCTGTATGATAAGAAATAAATAATCTAGTCTGGACCACACGGTCCAGTGATTGATATTATGAACAAGTATCCAAGCAAGTCTAAATACTGATATTCCCCACATATATGATCGGGCCATCTAAAATACTCTTTGTCAGGTTCTTACAAGAGACTGTTCTTGCTGTGTTCTTGATACAATTATCTGACGTCATGTATGTCATGTCATCTGTCATGCTATTATGGTGCATGTGTTGCTGGTGATGATGTACATGCTGTGATTGAAATAATTTGTTATGATTGATGAATTCTTCATCTTAACTCCTTTTAGGTGAAAATTAATGATTTAGGGTCTGGTTTCAAACACAAAGCTCAAAGCCCATGTTCCTACCAATTCCGGACATGCTGAGTATGCCAGTACTATCGATGCAGCATGGTGTTGAGGAGCCTGCTGGGACATGACATACCACATCATCACATCACATCACTGTACACAAGCTTACATACAACCCTGGGCACAAAGACAGAATTATTTCTGAGACATTGTGTAGACCATCGGTCAAAATATTGAATACATTGAAAATATGTACAAAAAGCATTCTGATCTTGTCTCTGGATGAATGGGTATAGGTCTCAAAATGCAGGATTTCTTAAAATTCAAGACTGGTGCCAAAGGAAGACTTATTAATTACTTAGGTTAAATAGTATGCAGCATAACTGATTATTTGTACACAAATGTTATAATAAACTTAAAAGGTCTAATGTATAGAGAAACAGTGGCCAAATCAGCACCAATCCAGCACATCAGTTTGATATATAGTGCTACATCCCTAATGCATGATAAGAATCTTGGGGTTCCAGTGCCAGCTTGGCATATATTGCGAATTATGTTCTGTCAGTATCATACGTGTTTCTCCTACGTCATTACTTTGGGTTTTCTTGCTCATTTAGCAGACATGCCAAGATTTAACTGGAATACCTATCGGAGCTGTGTAAAATGAAAGTCATTCTCTATTTAATGAAGTTCTGTATACGCTATATTTTCATCTGTGTGCCCATTCTCATCCCTTAGATATGCAAGCACCTTCACCAACATATTCAACAACCATCCTTCACCTTCTACTTTATAAAATGAAAGCTGAACCACAAAATCCCATGAACATCTTTTTACACATCAGCATCTGATTTCACTTTATGATACATGGCGTAAGTGACAGATTGAATGATACAAGTCTGAATATTTTACCATTTTCTTTATCACACTAAAAACAAGTCACTTGCCACTGTAAAAAGCAGCTTGATTCTTAAAAATATTTGGAAACAACAAAAATACAAAGACGCATGTCGCGGTTAATCAGGAATCTTTAAATCTAGAAGATCTCACTGGGAGTTGTACCATCTTAAGCATAAAGGTTTTAACTTCTATCTATTAATATCAATAAATGTTTAAGATATACTGAAATTTGATGAACAGGAAAATATATCAAGATGAAAAATCAAACAAAACCATTCTTATAATCTTCGGCTATTATCAGTTTAGATCTGATTATTCTGATTATCATCTAAAATTGGCTTCCATAAGTTATCGCTTTGTTGTTATCTGGGAGATACCACTACAACGAAATTGCATCAGAATGCTTTTCCAACTATTGTGACCTCACCGTTACCATAATACATGTATAATGATATCACAAATCTCTGCTTAGATACCTGTTAGTTGCTCTCTTTCACTTTCAACATCAGGTACAGTGTTTACAAACTGACAGACTTTGAAAGAAGATAAATTAGATTTCACCATCATGTCCTACGATATCAAATATATCAACTTAGATAAAAAAAACTTTAAAAAAGACTTTAAACAACCTATATTGATACATTTATTATCTACAGACACTCATCTGAGATTCTTTCTAAATCACCAGCTGTGGACAGAAGCTCAAGTCACATACAAATGATCCTTATAATCTTGGATTTTCCCACCATTGTCAATGTACAAGCTATCACAATCATAACACTACTAGTTAAGGACTCTAATGTGTTAAATAGGCCTTAACATGCAATCAAGTCACACCCTCCCAGGTCACAGGCTCTTGGTTCGTGAAAGTTCATGATCTGATCATGCATGAACAACCATCCAGGTGGTATGAGAAAGAAGGACTAGACTCTTAAAATTCTTCCTGTGTTGCTGTAATTGTATGTCTCCAGTTGTGTACGTCTCCTGTCATACAGAGTAGGTTTGTATGTTTATTCAATACATATCGTGGGAGTTTTGACTGTATTCTCTAGGTGTAAGTACATATCTATTCATAATGACAGCTGGCAGATCAATGGATTCACCAGTGTTGGGTCTTAAAGTTATAGCATTGTATAGTCAGTGGCATTTGCTGTTTATGAGCGACTGCTTACATAAAAGATTGAAAACCACTGTGGCTCTACCCAAAACCTATGGGGCAGATTTAGATTTATTTATCCATTAAATACTGTTTAGCACAACATCCTGGTAGGTAGGTAAGAAAAAATAATATCAATGTAGAATACGATATATTTTTAGGGCTGGCTAAAAAGATTGATAATCGGAAAATAGCATCATCAATGATATCGTACATAAACTTTTGTGATAGAATATACATTTAGTTTACTCACACAATACACAAAGTTAGGTTTTTATTCATGGGCTGCTTCTGAACTATGTTCAGGATGCTGTTTCATTCGGAATCCATGTAAAAACATGTCACCATTTACCAGTGGTGTAAAATATTATAATTTCTTTCAGAGTTTTTTTGGCATTTTTGCTCAAAGTTACTACTCCAATATTTATTGAAAATTGATTAATAATTAGTCATCGATGGCTATAATCTGTATCAATATCCTATATATTTTTACTTCAACATTTATACTTCAAAGATTCATCTGAATATGTGCAGTGTATGTGCTACGATAAACCCCCTTCAACCTATTACCCATTTGAAACCTGACTTGACTTGGCATTTCAGATGATTGAAAATCTCCAGGACGATGTTCCTGCAAATGACTGTCATATCCCAGGTTGTGTTCTGTATGTAAGCTTGTGTACAGGTAGATTCTCACAAACACAATCTATCACAATCAAAGTGGTAAGTGACAAGTTTGCAATCATCAGTAAAACATGAACAATTATTAAGGTTGCATAAAATGAATAAATCAATCAGTCCAAAATGTCATGCCAACAAACAACTCTATGATAACCATGACAACGCAGAAATGAATAACTGCGAGCAATGCAAAATAATTTAACATAACATGCTTTGCTGATAATTATCTGCAGTGATCAAATTTAAGGTAAATCTGTTAGAAACTTTATCTAATGGTCTAAAATCTTCTCAGATATTTAGACTAGTAATCCTTTTTCATTTTGACAAAAAATATACAAGAATTTTCCCCTGTTCTGAATTTCTGAAACAATAATTATACCCCAAGTATGACTTATCATTCATATATATCACAACACAGGTGTCAGATTGTGGGGGGGAGGGGGGTTGGGTTGTTGATATAGACAACTGGATTTTATACACACAAGCATATCTCCCCTTCCCTGGTGTTGTATATTTCAAGGGAAAGGCGTACATTTCACAATGGTACATTTCACCAGGATGTTCTTACCTCATGTTTGGTAGCATTTGGTTTCTCTCCATTTTCTACTGATCCTGAAACACAGATCATCGTCACCTATATGAGAGTGTATGTTTATTGGCGAATTAAATGTCATCATGCAGTTCTATGACTCATAAAAATTATTACATATTGCTGACAAGTGAGAGCATATATCATTATTTCATATAGATTGTACATCATGCAAGCTCATGCTGTTAGAGAAAACATGTTATTGACAGACTGTAACATATTTTCTATCATAGTGTTAAGTTAGTTCTTTTTCTTCATTTGCAATGTAATCAAAACATCCACCTGTTCCATCTGCACTGAAAGAATATAGAACAATCAACTCTCTTGAAGTAGTTAGAATACAAGCAGAGGAAAAATGGTAGACACTTCAGGTCTCTGATAAACACATTTGAAATTATCACCATTAGTATGTTAAGTACTTAGAATCGATGAAGTAGAAATGCATAATTTCTTAATACATCAATAGAGTACTTGGAAAGTTTATAAATTGCTGAGTCAGCATACTGGATTCAGCTGATTAACTCATGAACACACCTCTCAGATTTACTACCCAGGATTCAGCTACTAATTTACATATAACTGTTTCTAAAAAATAATTTGATATAGCCCAACATGTTTCAAAGAAAATTAATTTAGCCCCAAATATCAAGTCCAAGTGAAATGTGAGAAGTGTAAACATGAAAACTCCCATAGATGGGTAAGTAGATTTAGAGGACTGGACACTGGGGCTACAATGTCCACTTAATGCGGGTCAGCTGTGAATAAAATTTTGATAAGTCATTGTACAGGGCCTAGATTTTCAAAGCTCTCTTTGCACTAAGATGGTCGTAAGTGCCATACATTAACATTAACTTACAACTATCTTAGCGCTAAGAGAGCTTCGAAAATCTAGGCCCTGATCTTTCATGTTGATGCCAATAGCAAAAAGATTTTAAAGTTCTTTCCAAACCAATATGATCCACCATTTACTCAACATTTATTTTAAAATAAAACACTAACACTGTAATTAATTGCTATTTGTCTACAAAGTCATTTTATCTACAAAGTCACATGTCACTACTCACTATACTAAATGCTCCTACTAAAATGAAATATGAAAACACAAGTTTTGTTACTGAGATTATTTGAAAGAATCTAATATTGATAAACCTGTAAATCCTACAGAACAACAATCACATCTTCATGTATTTACGTGACATGAACGTGTTGATTACTCATGCATGACTGACAAGTGTAGTGTATTTCACATGACCTGCTTAGCTTCATGGCTGAGCAATACAAAATAACTGAAGCATGAAAACATGTAGGAAAAGTTTGCCACTGACAGATCTCTACATTTAGGTCAGTAGATATACCTGATCATACACAAAGTGTTCGTGTATACTAGTCCTGTCACAATTCACTTGCATATTCACTGAATCGAACCGCATCGAAATTGAAAATTGTTACTCATGGCCACCAGAAATCGAATATTTACGAATATATTTTACAAGTGTGTTAACTTAGAACTCATATGTTATCTATCAATGTGAGAAACGTAAAAAGGAATAGGTACAAGCCATGGCGTGTGTCATGTTGCCTTGGCCCCAAGTAGTATTGTCATTAGGCGAAAGTGGCATTGTGGTGATGTATTGTTTTATTGCCTTACAAAAAATATTAAAATGTTTCAATCTTAGCAATTATTTTACATTTGATACGTTTATTCCTTGATAAAAGTATTCATGTGAATAACTATTTATATCTGTTGCACTATGTTTTTGAAACATATCTTAACATGTTAAATCGCCTTAGGATAACTAATCTTAGGTGGATAAATATCTGCTGCCATCTTGAACACTTTTTCAGCAAAGTCACGTCACATGGTGACAATGACCTCTTTAGCTAACTAAGGATCATGTCATATCCATGATTTAAACTCAATCACAGATCCTGTCACAGCCAGGGGACACAACTCTGTACAGCAACTTGCATTGCCTTACAAATCTGAACTACCTATCAATCCTACAACCCACTTCTTTTGGGACTTGAAATAATTCATACACAAAGCTTCCCATTAACCTTCCAAAGTTTCAATTCATCAAATCTCATTCCATCTGCAACTAAATTAATAAGCTCAGAATAACAAATCTGTTCTTGTACAAAATACAATATATAAAATTAATTAAGATTAATAATCAGATAGAAAAGCTCACAATTAATGCAGTTATGCAACATTCATGTAAACTTTCTCTGCATGGCATAACAATTTTAGTCATCAATTCACTAACAACATAAATATTTAATGTTCATTAATTCAACATTTACATGAATGACATTTATAACAACATGAAGTGTATACTTATTACATATAATAGCAACAGAACCAGTTTCATCTGGATAGTGTTAGTTGCATAGACAATGAATATGCATTGATATTGACATGCATAGCATTATGAACGCATGCTGTGAAGAATATGTGGATGGTAATCTGAATCGCAACAAATATCTGACATTAATCAGTGTGTGATCCACACATAATAGCTCATTTCTCCATGATAACACATTAGTCTTTTTTATGATTAACATGAATTATTCATGAAATATCTATGTTCCTGATTTCTGATCTGCATATTATTGCTACCATGTTATACATGCCATTGTACTTTGGCAACAAGGGTACAATTTTAGTTGATTGCTATTTTTCTTTTACTGATATTTTCTTCTTTCTTTCATTCTCTCTCAACAGTCACACTTAAAATGCCATCTCTGACAATAAAAAGATTCTGGCATAAAAGTGAATTTGGCATTATAAAGAGATTAGCAAATGTCAAAGTTTTATGCCACAAGTAACATTATTTTTGCACAAGTAGTTCTTCAAAACAATGGGTTTTTTCCATTTTATAAGAGGTGAGCCTGTTAAAATCAATTGTCCAAAGTTATAATGATATGACCAGACCGGTCAGTAGGTCAGGGACCAGTTTCACAAAGCAATCTTAGTGCTACTGTAAGTCTATGCTGTATAAATGACTATCATATTGATGCTAAGATCACTTTGTGGAACAGGGCCCTGGTACACAAGTTTGAATATGATTTTGAATCAATAAGTGAAACCACTGGACAATTTTAAGACAATTATCTCAGCTGAATGAAAAGTCTCAGATTAAGAATTTGGCTGGCAACAACTTTCTCTTAAGCAGTAGTCATGCATAAGGTGGCAGATGCACATTTCACTGTGAAATCCAAATCTGCATGTGTCAGTAGGCTAACAATAGCCTAAAAAAGAAATACAGACAGCAATGAAAGACTCAGATGTCTCAGGAATCGGCAACATAAAACAATGAGAACATGCCCAAAAATGAAACATTGTCATACATCTAAGACCCAGTTGCCGTAAACATGGAAACAGCAGCTCTAAAATACACAATAAAAAATCTTCCAAACTGGGATTGTGCAGAGCTGGAAGAAAGTTGACTGTAATGTTGTAACAATCAACAACAGAGATTAATTTTCATCTGACAGCAAGAACTCAGAATATTCTAGATGTGTATTTTCACATTAGCTCTGTAAGATATAAATTTACTATTTAAAGTTGTCCTTGTCACACAACGGTCAACATCCTTCCTGTTCAACATGTCTAACTTGGATTGTGTTTTGTGTGTTTTAGCTCTACCATTCCATGCCTACTGGCAGCAAGCTAACAGATTCATAACAATGTTTCTTCATTTTTAGGTTACATTTTCATTATTTGATGCTGATGATTTCGTGTGAAGGCATTTGAAAGTTTTGGATTGCAGTCTGTTGGTAGGCCAGAGGATGTATTAATAAGACTTTCATCTTGACATACTGCCATCTTGACACACTGCCATCTTGACACACTGCCATATGCTGCTTAGTTCTGCTATATCCATTAATAAACATGATATACAACACTGTGACAGACATTCAACATCTGACATCCAAGTGACTTGCTATGATGATGATGATGATGACAAGCATCCCTGAAAAAAGCTAAAAACAAAACAGAAGGACACTCTTCGATGCCAATACAATTCTGTTTCTCAACACCCAGGACCCAAATGTCAGTTCAGACTTACACAAGTAAAGATACTTGATTTTAATTTCGAAATGGATGAGATTATTGGTGATTGAAGGTTATAAACAACAACAAACAGATCATGCAACGAGGTGAAGGAACCTGTTAATATTGGTCGTATTCCAATAAGTGACACGCCTGTATCTGTCAGGTTATTAGCTGTCGTCATTCCTGTTGTACAGAATGTAAGATATTAGTTGACAGCGACACACGATGCACATACACATTCATTAGGGTTTACAAGCCGTACAACAGATTCATATGCCACATTTACTCTCACAAGTCATGACATATATAAATGATAAAATGTCACATAAAGAGTAGTAAAATTTTTCATTTCTCAATGGAATGACGTAAAGCATGATCTATCATTTCAGGTACATAATAACCTCTCAGTCATTCAACGGATATTGGGTTTTTCGTTGATAAAATGTGACATAAAGAGTAATAATATTTTTCATTTCACAATGGACAGTTTTTTCGTACACAGTTTTATCTTGAGCCCATGACTGCTGGCAATGCAAGCAAAAATTCCAATTTTACCAATTCATGACACAATTACTGCCACATACACAGTGTGGAATACATGACAAATCAGTGTGTTAAATGTTAACACGACAAAAAATAACAATGACATCAAAATAAACAATTTGTCCCTGTTAAGGTCTACGAAGGTGTGAAAAAGTGAAGATGTCCATGATTGTGGAACTGTGATAAAAGTATAACTGTGTCAATGGAACCAACTACCCATTAAACAACATTGTCACTAATTCAACACACGATGTAAGCAAACATTCGGTCATGTTGCCATGAAAAACTCTTTTTTTTTCAAAAGTTCTGTCTGCAGTGTTTTACTGTATGATAAACAAGTACCCTTGTCGTGTATTTCTGAAATGTCAGTCATAGAAAACAATGACCTGCATCCTGACATATCTCACTCACTCATGCATATTATTACATGATTTTCTGATTTCTTCCACTCTTTCTTTCATGACAATAAGATTACATCCTGAGGTGAGGTGAAATTGGATTTAACGTCGTACTTGAGAATATTTCGCTCATATGACGACGTGCATCCGTGTGTGTGTGTGTGTGGCTGCTTGTACTAGCCCAGACTTAAGCTGGTTTTATGGTGCTAGCACACTGAGATACCATGCCGCAGTGAAGCATAGATACCCCACTCAGACACATTATACTGACTGTGAGCCGACCAGTCCTTGTTGTACCCATTAATGCCGAGCGCCAGGCGGGGACCAACAAGTACCATATTTTAACGTGTTTTGGTATGACGCGGCCGGGGATCGAACCCAGCGACCTTCTGCTCTCCGGGGGGACGCTCTAACCACTACACCACGGAGGCGGTCATTACATCCTGATGACATCAGTTAGCAACAGTAAGAAATCAAGTTAGTTGAGTAGAATCATTTCGAATTCATGGTACAACATACTACCAAACATGACTCACATACTTTCTGTGTCCTCAAAAACAAGAACTACTTCTATCACAAACTTACCCTAAAAATAAATACCCAAATACGTACATTCATGATATTTTCAAAAGCATATTATCCTAGTATCAGTTGTAAAAGTACCTGGCTTGATGGTCATGTTTGTATCAAGGTGGCGTATTTCCTCCGAAATGAAACAAACGTCTATTTAATGTACATTTCAACCTATAACTGCTGGGTGTGTTGTGAGAGTTTATGGTGGCAAGTACTTGGTCTATGTAGACAATAAATTGACATATTGATAAGACTCATGGTCAACTGACATCACTTGAATGCCACCTCTCCTTATGTTGCCGATATAACCATAAGGCTGTTCGATGTTGTTACAAAATGTCAATAGCAGTGAAATCTAAATGTCATACACTCAAGCAACATCTGTGTCACTACTTAACACACAAACCTGTGAAAGAAAATATCGTTCTTGAATCAACTCAGTTTTTGGTGATACTAAGCAATATTTTCATTAACAAATTCCAAGTCAATAGGATATTCTGTCTGTTATGAATTATCGTCAATAGAAAAATTAAACACCAGATAATATAAACATTGATTGCACAAGTTAGTGAATAGAGTTTTATGTCAATGAACAAAAATCCAGCAATATTCAAAAAAGGACATAGGGGCAAAAATGACATTTGTATTATGTATCCCTTATAGGGATAACCCATTTGGGTCAGTGGCGTGATGACCTAACCTCTAAGCACTAAACAACAGACATCTCCTCAAAGCAAGGATTTACCAAGTAAACTTTATAGGCTCAAACAGTTCATATTTTGCTTATGGATTGTAAGATAACCAGTCAGCTTATTGGTTAGGTAAAAATAATAATAATAATAATAATAATAATAAATGCATATTTATAATGCGCCCCTTCCACACCCTAAGGCATGCTCAAAGCGCTACAGAATATTTACACTGGAGTATTTACAGATGAAGTTATACATAATATACTGAGAAAAGGTGGGTTTTAAGTCTGGACTTAAAAATGTCAATTGTGTCAGAGCTTTTAAGGGCACATGGGAGAGAGTTCCAAAGCACAGGTGCAGAGTAAGAGAATGATCGGTGTCCAAAAATAACAAACAAATTTGTGTGTATCATTAATTTCTTATCTTATTAGGCCTAATTCAATTTAGGGGGAAACTACATTTTTATTCGTTTTCTAAATTATTCAAAGATTGGGGGATATAACTAAATAAATTTCAAATTTCAAATCAGTCAAATCAACACATATGATAGAGAGTTTTGTCTCTATCAGTCTACTGAATAGAGTATTCTGAATGCTATTGTCTGAATGCATGTTACCATAGTGACTAACTTTATCATGGTTATTGCACCCACACTTATGTTTAAATGGAGAATCTAGATTCCCAAAGAACCAAGTGCTCAAGCAGGCACACACATAGATTAAAAACAAGTGTTTGCCTCTAAAATATGGCAATGTCCCCCGCCGCTAAGGATGGAATATTCATAACATATTTACCACTTTTTATTTTTTGCTCACATACAAGATGCCTGAAATCACTGGTGTCTGCATAATCACCCAATGTAGACTGTCGACATAATTGAAGACACTGGGTGCTATGTTTTATGAGATATCGCATTTACATAAGTTTGAAAAGTGGTCAAAGTGTCAAGGTGACCTTGAAGATAAGGTCAAGGTCACCCAAATCACTTGGTGTCTGTGTAATCCCAAAATGTAGGCTGTCCCCAAATTTGAAGACATTGGGTACAACAGTGCATGAGATGTCCTGTTAACAAGAGTTTGAAAAGTGTTCAAAGTGTCGTGGTGACCTTGAAGATAAGGTTAAGGTCACCCAAATAAACTGGTGTCGGCGTAATCCCTCAATGTACGCTGTCACCAAATTTGAAGACATTGAGTACGACAGTTCATGAGATATCGCCTTAACAAGAGTCTGAAAAGTGGTCAAAGTATCGTGGTGACCTTGAAAATAAGGTCAAGGTCACCAAAATCGACTGGTGTCTGGATAATCCCCCAATGTAGGCTCATGAGATATCGCGTTAACAAGAATTGGGATGGACAGACGAACGGATGGACGCTGCTGAATACATAGTCCCCCGTTCCGCGTTGCAGCGGGGGACAATAAACTTAAATAATGATTTCTGAAATTTACTCTACAGGTTTCATTATTTTTGTTTCGAAACATAACATACACACTAACCAACACCTGCATAATTGTACATACATGTGAAACACGAACATTCAAAACATGTGAAACAATTCACATCCAATACACGGGAAACCCTTTACATTCAATACCCGGGAAACCCTTTATGTTTAATACACGGAAAACCCTTAATATTTAATACATGGGTAACCCTTTATATTTGATACACGGGAAACCCTTCATATTTGATACACGGGAAACCCTTCATATTTGATACACGGGAAACCCTTCATATTTGATACACAGGAAACCCTTCATATTTGATACATACGGAAACCCTTTATATTTGATACATCGTGGATATATTTAATACACGGAAATGACCCCAAATATTTGAATAAATCTCAAAAGTAAAACTAACACTTTCAATAATTTGATATTTATGTAAACTTTACATTTCCATGCATTATATCCTGATTCAGAAAACAATGCCATTTTCACAGACTGAAACTTTGATATAGATAAAAATATTATGGAATTAATCAATCGTATTTTCACTGAATAGCATCCTCAATTAAATATAGTATAGCATCAAACACATCAAACAAAACATCATATAAACTGTTGAAGCTACAACAGGTAAACAATGCTGAGCTCGTTAATGCCCCATAAAAGCAGTATGAAGCTATAGTATGGCCAGTAATGTGAAGCAAAGCAGATATCATTCCCTTTTTCAGTGTATCTCAGGAGCCCTCAGTGCAATTGGCATAAAAATAACTGATATTATGTGATTGTGATGTGATATACAATATGCTGCTTGGTGGAGAGGTGAGGTGAGGATTAACATCAAATTCAAGAATATATAACTTACATAACCACATGCATGTCGTTGTTTGTCGACTGCTTGTACAGGGCCGGACGAACTCTGGTTTTATATTGTGATCCAACTGAGATATCACGCAGCAGTTTAATATTGATACTCTGTTCAGAGTATACTGACTCTGGCAAGCCAGTTTTATTCCCTCCAAGCTGACCACCAGGCAGGGTAACACTAAGTACCATGCTTGTCATGTTGTATATATGGTTCCTGCATAGGGAGCTCAGTATGTTTTGTGTTTTGAGTTCGATACAAGAAGACATGTCCACAGAGGTACAATAATAATTATCTGTGCAGATCATAACAGGGTTCAACTACATATGCCATTTCTGAAGATCATTTTAGCAGAGTAGTAAAATCAAATAGCTATGTTTGTTGTATGACACTGCAGTTTTCCAGCTATATGATGACAATCTGTAAATAATCCAATCTGGGCAATGCAAACCAGTGACTGATGTCATGAGCATTGATCATCAAAATGATATACAATGACAGCGAGACTGACCTCTGGATCCAGATACATTGTAGTTGGGTCTTACAACAAACATGACTTGCTGAAGACCAATTCTAACCCAGATCTTCTTTAAAAAAATTTAATCCTGATGACAGTTCTTGTAAGAGTACTCTGCAACTGGATCAAGTATTTTCATTCAGTGTTATCAAAAGTCCTCTCTGACCATGTGTTGAAATGGGTCCATGGTAAATGAACTTAACCACATGTCTCAATCATCTGTGCAGTGCCTTTCTGATAGTGAGGATGATATTGAAGGCTCCTAGGCAGGCAAACTGTGTATATACTGAATATGAGGTGCAGTGCTATCTTTATTACAGAATCCAGATACAAGGTTCAGCTTCCTGTAGCATGTGGGGTGAACCAACAGCGCAAAAACGCCCACTATATATAACATTAACTACCAATTTCACTAATACCCCAGTAAGTAGAGCCTTGCTTAACACCACAGTCAGTGCTATTCTGGCTGTTATGTGTCCTGTCAATAATTAAGGTTGGACCAGCCAAACATAACCAAAAAACTGAGCCCACCATCAGAATAAACAACATAAAACCAAAAATGAACGATGAAAATAAAATATCTGAACCAATTCTGTCGGCCATCACAACAAGAATTGAACTGTGCCTAGCTAACTGAATAATTTTAGGCCTCGTTGGACGACACCTTGTAGGGACCTCTTCGAACAACCTCCCGTCTCAGATATTAACTACAGTCAAATCCCGATGAGTCGAATCGCTGGGGACCAAGTAATAAATTCGACTTATCGATGTATTCGAGACATAGGTATGTCTATGAGGGTAGAAAAAATGATGATCCAGTCCTAATTCCTCCGCCTAAGCATTTGTTTATCTAATGATTTCCATATCACTAATAGGGACACCTTATCAGTTCCAGTCTGATTAGCACAGACAGTGATTTCCGTAAAATCACTAATCTGCCTTTTGAACTCACCCGTCAATGGCGGAAAGGTGTGAGCCGCGCTGGTTTGTTAATTGGATCAGTTTGCTACACCAATCAACTTCTCATTGACTGACTTCGGCTTATGTATACAAGATTGCTGTTGTTTGAATCTCATGGGACCAAATGTCCTTCTCGAGTCATCGTGTGTATTTATGAGACTAATTCGTGTAACCGGTATTCAAATGATGACAACTATAACAGGGAATGGTCGGGACCGACAGATACTTCGAGTTATGCATAATATTCGAGACACCGGCATTCGACTCATCGGGATTTGACTGTATCTCTTTTGATCAACTTATTCTAAAGCAGCATTTTCAACAGATGCAAACAGATTACACAAGAAAACATCAAAACAAAAAATCAGCATTGATGACAACTTGTCTTAAATGCAAACCACAACTGCTGTAATTTTCACACTTTTTCTCCAATCCTATTTTTCTTATTTTTACACAAGACTCAAATACAGTCTAGCCCTATGACAGCACCCTGCAAAGAGTTGAGTGGACCAGACATTCTGGTGATTGATATCATGAGCATCATCCCTGAGGCTGAGTCTGATGACATTTAATTAACTGTCAATATTGACACCTGGATCCATTTAGACACTCATACAACCAGCATAATCTGATGACTTATCTTTACCCAGAATCACCACAAAGATTTAAAAACATACAAACTCTTACTGAGAAAATGGTAGTAATTCTCTGCAACATATGTGTAAAGCCCCATCACAAATGTAACATAAAAGTAAAACATCCTTCACACCTAGATTAAATGAATCTAAAATATAATAGGCTTTAGTACAAAAGCAAAATATATGACTCATGTGAAAAAGCACCTATTTCCTACTACCGTTACAAAATAGGCAAAACCAATCAAAAGAATTAAAAAGCTTCACCTATATTAGTCAAAGGTCCCTTTCCAAGAATATGGACGTGAAAATCTCAGTGCAGATTGTGCAATAAATCATAGTTTTACCTGGTACATGAACAAGATCTGGTGCAGCTACATATCCTGCACCTGCAGATGCAAGGGCAAGGTCATGACCTTTAGGGGGCGGTGGGTGACCTTGACCTTCAAAGCCAATGGGCTGACCGACAGGCTGGGGGTCAGGGGGGTCAGGGAAATGCTCGGCAGAGGGCATGCCTACTGCCTCAACTGGCTCAACGTTGGGAGTAGTTTCAAGATCAGGTTCAGTTTCAAATCCAGCATTTGCATGACCTTCCCCTTTGCATTTACAGGAATTGAAATAAAAAACAAACATAAGAGAATATCAAAAAAAGAAGGTAAATGATGTGCTGTCAACAGGAAATAAACATTATCAAGGATGAGAAAATAATACTTCTGAAATAAAAGATACAAGAGAGTGCAGTTTCATGTTAATGAAATGAACACAACCAAGTGATGTGAAAACAACATATTTGCTGAAAACAAGCTAAGTGAAATTTAATTGTTAGTAACAGAAGAGCATGTATGGGTTCTTGTACACTTGTTTTCTTAATATTTCACATACCATGTTTACATGACACTTTCTTATGAATAACAACCTATTTAATCCATAAAGTGTCCTGCATCATGTTTTTCCAGCTTCTAAATGCCTTACAAAGACTTTGCCATTGCACGTGCCATATTGACAGATGGGTGTTTATTAAAGCTGTATTCATCATAAAAAGATGGACCATAAAACAAAAATATTGTTAATGAATTTAATTTGTCCTTTACTCGAAACAACCAAACCGATGACATGTGTCAACCAAGTCAGCGAGCCTGACCATCCAATCCCGTTAGTCGTCTCTTACGACAAGCATGGGTTACTGAAGATCAATTCTAACCCGGACCTTTACAGGTCTCATAATTAAGAAAAACCATCCTCAAATGAGTGGATGGGTGGAAAAAGACATAACTATCAATGTCTGACAAATGATAATTGGTGCATAATTAATAGGGACCTTGCAAGATTTAATCACAATGCGTATCACTGGTCACAGTGTTTCTCTATCCAAGACCATAGGCTTACTTTCATAAACGTGTTAGAGTTAAATGATGATTAAAGATGTGTTGTGTAATTCACTCATTCTTTTATGTTATCACTCATTCCTTGTCACATTCTTCCACTTGTCCATCATGACACTCACTCACTAGTTCCTTCTCAATAATTCATTTGTTCACTCATTTTTCTCACTCTTTCCTTCAGACATTCATTTCTTCTTTTGTCCACTATGAATTCATGACTCTCTTTCTTCGACCTGACTCTCATTCCTAAACTCACTCATTCATTCACACACTTATTCATTCACTTGTCAAATAATTTCCAGTGTTTAAAACTCCAAAAATTCCAAGCCAGACAGGCAGATTGGTAACTTGAAAAACTTAACAGTCCGGATACAAACTTGCCTGTCCAGTTTTCAACAATAAAATAACCCAAAATGTTGTGATTGGTTATGTAACATGAACTGTCCAATCGTAGGTAGTTTAACATAATTTTCATAATACCTTAAACACTTCAAACTGACGACAAGAGAACCTGTCTGATATTATGAAATCGTTCTGGACGGTGGGGCAGGCGGGAATTTTACACGCTGTAATTACTCATTCCTTCTCTCACTCATTCCTTCATTCACTCATCCCTTCACTCATTCATTCATTCACACGCTCATTCATTCAATTCTATTCATTCACTGATCAATCAGTCACTCATTCCTTCTCTCACTCATTCATTCACACGCTCATTCATTCAATTCTATTCATTCACTGATCAATCAGTCACTCATTCCTTCTCTCACTCATTCCTTCACACGCTCATTCATTCAATTCTATTCATTCACTGATCAATCAGTCACTCATTCCTTTCCATTCATTCACTCATTCATTCACACGCTCATTCATTCAATTCTATTCATTCACTGATCAATCAGTCACTCATTCTCTCACTCTCTCACTTCATTCAATTCATTCATTCACACTGATCAATCAGTCACTCATTCCTTCTCTCACTCATTCATTCACACGCTCATTCATTCATTCAATTCTATTCATTCACTGATCAATCAGTCACTCATTCCTTCTCTCACTCATTCATTCACACGCTCATTCATTCAATTCCATTCATTCACTGATCAATCAGTCACTCATTCCTTCAGTCACTCATTTCTTTACTTGTAAATCCTTCACACTTGTTCCTTCACTCACTTATTCTTCCATTCGCTTATTGTTTCACATACCTCGTTCTGTTACTAACAAATTATTACGCAGTGATTACACATGGCATATCATACACAACTGTAAACAATTCTGGGTTGAAATACTGGGCTGCTATTATTGAAATCATGGTAAAAAATTCAAGTCACACCACTCTCTCCATCATCACTTGAAGCGAGGATTCTCTCAGCCCTCAGCCCTCACAGAATATGGGACATTCTACATCAGTTGAGGAAATTAATTTTGAAAAAAAATATATATTTCCTGAATACAAACTCCTGGATATTGCCATGAGATTTCATCTTTATTGGCCATTTCCATAACAAAAATGTAATATTTATTGTAACTTGCTTCCTATTAATTATGCAGCATTGGTGACAGGAAGCACAGAAGCAAATACTATGGCAACCAGATGACAAGCTGAGTAGGACCTGTACATCGATTACCATGTCACTTCCAAACAGCTGATACTGATATGGACGAGGATATTCATGTACGTTTCTCATTCAAATGTGAAAAGCAAATATGGGTTTGCCCCCTTGCATGCATCATCAGGAAATGTTTAATGTAGCATCTCTTATAAGGATGTTATACCAAACAATCACCATGTGGTCACGATGGTACATGACACCATTCGGCAGAATAACAGTGAGTGAGTTAAGTTTTACGCCGCACTCAGCATTATTCCAGCTATATGGTGGCGGTCTGTAAATAATCGAGTCTGGACCAGACAATCCAGTGATCAACAGCATGAGCATTGATCTACGCAATTGGGAACTGATGACATGTGTCAACCAAGTCAGCGAGCCTGACCACCCGATCCCATTTGTCGCCTCTTACGACAAGCATGGGTTACTGCAAATCAATTCCAACCATAATATTTATCGTATTCACCTTGGATGTATCGTATTGCAGCCATACCTGGTATACGGGCAAGCATACCCAACAGGTATGGCCAGGTAGATGGGGTTTCCAGATTAGCACCGTTATGACTGTCATCATAGAGTTTATCAAATGTCAGATTGTTTTTGCAACTTCTGAATCATTACATGAGAACTCAATTGCTACTGTATCTCATTACACACCTGAATCAGGACATGTTCTAACAACTAATTCAATATATGCTGAACAGTGTTCAATATGCTTTTAGTCAGGATTGATTTTGATTGGAATTTGTGTCTATCAAACATTTGTGACAGTATTCAGAGCCCCTAAGAATAGCAAGGGCATCTGGAAAGAGGTCTCCAAAGCCAGCTTTAAATGAGTGAGTGAGTGAGTGAGTTTAGTTTTACGCCACACTCAGCATTATTCCAGCTATATGGCGGTGGTCTGTAAATAATCAAGTCTGAACCAGACAATCCAGTGATCAACAGCATGAGCATTGATCTGCGCAATTGGGAACCGATGACATGTGTCAACCAAGTCAGCGAGCATGACCACCCGATCCTGTTAGTTGCCTCTTACGACAAGCATAGTCGCCTTTTGTGGCAAGCATGGGTTGCTGATGACCTATTCTACCCTGGATCTTCATGGGTCCCAGCTTTGAGAATAAAGGACAAAACTTAAGATTAAATTTCAGTGTGAGTAATATTTCAGTTTATATCTCAAATATAGGAAAAGACAATTTATATAACTTATGAATTAATGATAATCAACCCTTTTGGTTTGTAAGTTACATCTTAAAACCATATTTTTCCATTTTGAAATATTAATATAATAATAGGTAAAATAACCTTATGAAAATTCATAATACTGATACATAAATGCATGCATCCTTGAATATTTCTTACCAACATAAAATTTAAATCCTATAGGCACATGTGAAAAAAAATAACAAATGTGTATATGAGACTGACATGAACACCTGAAAACAGAACATGATAATCTCATAATCACCAAACTGAAACAGGAAGTTGTCAGCGTTGCTATGGATACTGACCTGCTCCCTCAAATCCGATTGGTGCAGGCTGTGTATATACAGAATATGAGGTGCAGTGCCATCTTTATTATAGAATCCAGATACAAGGTCCAGCTTCCTGTAGCATGTGGGGCGAACCAACAGCACAAAAACGCCCACTATATATAACATTTAACTACCAATTTCACTAATACCCCAGTAAGTAGAGCCTTGCTTAACACCACAGTCAGTGCTATTATGGGTATTATGTGTCCTGTCAATAATTACGGTTGGACCACCCAAACTTAACTGAAAAACACCAAACAGAAACAGGAAGTTGTCAGCGTTGCTATGGATACTGACCTGCTCCCTCAAATCCGATTGGTGCAGGCTGCTCCATGTCTACCGCCACTCCGTTGTTGTACTCTGGAGGTGGTGGCGGTGGCACCGGACTTACTCCTGAAACAGACACACCATTGTTAACTCAAGTCTTACACAGGTCTCTAAGAAATGATTACGTAATAATTCTATGTTGAATCAGGGATTTATCTAGATTGCAAAGTAAAGGCCCATGGCACTCATTTGTGAAAAAAGCGACATATTTTTCAGCATTGGATTATTTTGATGTTCTTTTGTTTGTAAATTCTGAGGCACTAAGAAATTATTTATTCAGGTGCAATTATCAGCCTCTGAGCAGATCGAGATAAATCCCTGTGAATACTAAAAGAGAACAAGCTGTCCCTTTGAGTGTGATTAGACTTGTGTGTCATAAGGATCTAATTACTATGTATCCATAGACAGATTATTATTAGAAACTTGGAGCAAAACTACATCAACATGCTTCTCATGTTATTCTGCAACCTGAGCTATTGTCCCTGATGTTGGTTTGCATTGACTCATGTTACATTAATGTGGAAATACGTTTAATGTTTCTATCATTCATATGGCATTAACATTGTCACATGTCTGCTCAGTGAGAGAGGAACAGTCACAGATCAAATATGGTTCCCACTTTAGTGCAAGGATGATTATCAGAGAGAATATGGGCTTGGAACCAGCAACCTTGTAGGTGTAATGGCCATAACCTCTGTATTGAGAATTCTGGCTCACTGGCAGTCTATGCTTTAGATACACAGATTAAAGACATGAGTGGTACTAATATCATTATCTTGCCTCACACATAAATGTCGTTTTCTGATTGGCTGAACGCTCTTCTATTATTTTCAATGTACCCAGCTTACAAGCGAGTAACATTTTCTATGTACCCTGCTGGGAATGCCGAACTCATTTGGTACTTCGTAGTAGTAATTCTTTATCTCGAATAACATTGAATCACGTATGATGTACGGAAATTACAGATGCTTTGCGAATGCAAATTGATGGAAGGGAGATAACTCTAAATTTGTTTTTCTTGTCGTCTTGTACTCCATCCTATGATCCGATACCTGTGCTTCAAATAGTTCAAAATTGAGGTGTTCGGTAAGCTAAATACTATGTTCACTGGTCCCTCGCGGCCCATGTCCCCCTCGAGACCAGTGAACAACTTATGAAGTAAACTGAAACATGCCTTCATGAATACCGCTATTATCAGGGGATGAAGATTACATGGAATGAGGACCAATATTTGTTTTATCCTCACAACTTTTAGTTTATAGAACCTTCACTTGTGAGCTAGATTGCTTGTAGCTAGGATATCAAGAGCAGTAGACACCATAAGATACATCTCACTAATCCAATCAGTTTAAGTTGAATATTAGGCATTAACGTAAAAAATACACAGTTTTGGAAAAACTATCTATCCATCAATCGCATCAGTGGCCCAGTCGTTAGTCTATCATACAGATCCTGAAATACATATATCCAAGAAAGCCCATGCAAGTCTAGAATATGTGTAAAGTCTAGGTTTCCACAGTTTCTGAAATGAAGAAAGTCTCAGGGTTCCTTCTCATTAAATTTATTTTTTTGTATCATGAACTGTTTTTTTTTCTGTAAAATAATTGTTCATTTCAGAAACTAGTTGTTAATCTATCCAGTTGTCGAAGTCACCACACTTTGCACTGTAGGGCTGCATCACCTTGTGTGAGTGAGTTTAGTTTTACACTGTTTTTAGCAAATTCCAGCAATATCATGGCAGGGGACACCAGAAATGGGCTTCACACATAGTGTGGGAAATTGAACCCGGATACCCATCTACTCCACCCTGCATCACCTTGGCACATCAGCAACACATGACCATGGGTCTGAGTATCAAATTCCTCTCATCTTTTCTCTAGATTTATCAATGCCAGACTGAATGCCTTTGACCTTGCACAAGTCTCTAACGTAATAATTAATTTAGTTTAAATGATATTTTCTAAATAATATAGATATTTCTCTAACAGACTGGTCTCCTTGTCTCCTTGTACCGCTAAACTAGATTTTCCTCTCTAAAGGATAGAATTACTATACATCCATGGGCTTAGCATTCAGTACAGCCTTGGGGCAAGGCTAAGAGACCTCCAGCTGACACAAGCTGATAAAACTGAAACACAGTTCAAAGATGAGTTGAACTTAACTCATTCAAGTGAGACTCAGGAATCACAGATAAACAGCTGTGTCTGACAGCTGGGTCTAACCCTGATGCTATTACTTGAGCTGGATCTATATTATTGGATTCCAACATGGATGAACCTCTATCTGATAAAACTGGTGAACTGATTGACACCATGGTGTGTCCAGCTGGTCAGTGGCTACAGCAACAGCTGAAACAACACAAACTGACCATTCAGTCATATAATACTTCCTCCTTGTAACTAAACATTTAATTCTGAGTAAACAGGGCGTAACTACAACACAGTCAGAGTTGAGAACTCATCCATAAACTTCTTGACCTTGAATGGTAATTCCTGCAATGTAATGCTTAGCACAAAATAGAATCAGTTTCATCAGATAATCGAGGTCATATTCTAAGATTATTTTACTACAGCCTTAGGGGCAGTGGGGTAGCCTAGTGGTTAAAGCGTTGGCTCGTCACACCGAAGACCCGGATTTGAATCCCCACATGGGTACAATGTGTGAAGCCTATTTCTGGTGTCCCCCGCTGTGATGTTGCTGGAATATTGCTAAAATCGGTGTAAAACCAAACTCAGTCAGTCAGTCTACAGCCTTAAAAAAATAGAACCATAAAAACAGTTTGTCAGTTAACAGCAATACACCAAACTTTGTACCAGTTTGATCGGAGTTATTTTCTTCTATGAATTTTGGGGGGCAAATCAGTTGCAGTGTGTTATTCAAGTGGCCTCCGAGCAGAGACATGCAACAGATCCAGGCAATACAGTGTCTTTAAAGCAGGATCAACTATCTGTGGTATTGGTATACCAAGAGACTCATTTCAAAACAAATTGCAAATTTCAAAACATTATTTCTGAGTACCGGTACCTATATAGTATTGGGCGAAAACAATTTTTTCTGTAGAATTATTTATCTTTGTTGATTTTTACAGTACTGCATGCTCATTACAATTCATAACAACTAACAAAAAAGTAAATGGCAACTTGACCAGTACGTATAAAACGTGTTGATTTTATAATTTATGGAGGCTGCATATTTAGTTAGTCTGTAATAGGGTGAAAACGTTTACAAGCTTGGCCATTATCTCTATGGGTTAAGTTAAAATCTACACTGACTTTCATTCACCTCTGATTTTACCCTGTGTAATCAATCGATAAAACATTAGAAACGCGAAGTGATGTTTCTCTCAAGTTCATTCTCTTGTTGGCCTATCCATAGTCTAAGACTTAGACTCTGTATGAGTCTGTATATATAAATTTAATAGACACATATAATTCCTTTAGAATTGAAAAGGACCCCAGTGAGATGGTAGATTCAGAACCTGAAGAAATCTGGACTTTGCGCATTTAAGGGCATAGCATTGCAGATAGGGATAGAAAAAAGGGAAAATAATGAGGTTCGGAGACTGTGAGACAGACTAGCGTATCCATGACAACCACACTATATTGTTTGACATCGTAATATTTACTTTACTTCCTGTTGTTCCATGTAAACAACCTGCCACAGAAAATGCCTCCAGTCCTAATGCATTTTATTATGAATTAGGTTGGCTTTGCTCTCCTGTTTCCTGGATTGGTAATTTCCCCTTTGCAATGATACTCAAATAACTAAACTTATTGTCCGCGTCAATGAACATTTGCCAGCTCCATGCAGTGGTACAAGAATTAGGTTACTGTATGCAGTGTATCAAGTTTATGAAGTTTTAACATGTAGATCGTTCTGCTTTACTTAACATCATATTCGTAACCATTCACTCCTTTCCACAACCTGCAAGAAGATTCGGCTTGTCATGGAATAACATGCGTTGGTCACGAATGTGAACATCAAGTAAAAATACTTCACAAACTTTATGGATAGCAACTACTTTTTATTTCATATTTATGACTTTATATGAAATCGATAAAGTTTGTCCAATATCGTACTTCCCAACTTTTAAAATGCCACTCAATAAAGTAGACTTATCAAGTTATGTTATTTGCAATGGTAATATCAATTTGTTTTATATGCGCGATATCATGCCAGAATATATAACTATTGGTAATTTGAATGATCAAACAAAAAATGATTTCAATCACACAAATATCAAATTACACTGACATTTCAATTCTTAACTTCCCAGAGAAAGCTTTATGTATTCCCACAATCCCCAATACCTGTATACACCTGAATAAATGAATTAACGGATCATTAAACACTGACGATTGTGATAATTAACGTACCTGTCACCAGTTTGAAACCAATACAAGAACCTGTTATGACAACAGCACCTGTATCATGTTTACATACATGCATATCAGAACTTGTTTGTGTATGGTACACCTGAGCATAATGCTCAACCATCATTTATTGGTACATTGTTGGAAACACTGCTCACAGTTTAGTTCACACAAGATTTCATGGAAACTAAAGTTTACAATAATGCATGAAATTGTGACTAAAATTAACAGGGATGGAAATTAACCGTGAATGTACTTGCTTGAACAGTGTTAACACATTCAGTAAAGCACAGTCATAAGGAACTCAGAGGGAGGACTGTTGAAGTTCATGGTAACCGTAGTTCATAGTACACATTTCTGCTAATATATGCAAGTGGTCAAGACCAAAATTTCAGTTTGTTATATCCATTATAAACGTGTTGGTATAAACATACCGGTAGTTTACTGTACAGCAAAACCAATACTCCCCAACCACTCACACCCCTCCAAAAGTGTTTGAAATTCTACTAGCCCTCAGGATACCTTTAACATTAACAAAACTAGTCAGGCCTAATTGGCAAGTACTAATTTCTACCCTGATTAATATGATATACTACAAATGTAAGTACAGATATAGAATGTGCATTTTGTATGATAAGATTAAATAATAACAGGAATACGATGTGTAATAACAAGATGAACTTGCCTACCTTT